AATACAACACGTATTCCGGTAGAGTCTTCCGGGGGTGGTGGACTGCGGAGGGGGGAGGGGAGTCTGCAGACATACGGAGTGCAGCTTCTGGACTCTGTCTTGTGGCAGGTGAACTTGTTTCTCTTTTGGCGCTCCGCTAACCAGACACCATTTATCATTACGAGCCCCGAGAACTGGGAAAACTAGATTTCACTGACCGACTACAGGCCATGCCATGGCCACAGCTACGGCTACGGCTACCGCTACCAGAGAGTTGTCTCCGCTGGGAGTCATCGTTGTTTTGAGGCAAGTGGATCGTTCGTGCTCTGTTCCCTGTGCTCTGTTCCATGTTCCATGTTCGATCGGGGCTCTGAGATTTTTGCGAAAATTAATTTTAATTACCCAACGATGTTGTCGCCGAAAGCCGCTAAAGTTGCTGGCTGTCTTGTCAGTTCTTCATAGACAGCTGATCAATAACAATTTTCGTGGCATTTCCGCTTCTAATTAAGTGCGGCAGAGATTGTCGCCAGTCGGATGCGAGATTCCATCCAGGATTGGGCAGGCTGTGTATGTCGTAGCAACCAGTAAAGATCTTTCACCATTATGACAGAGTTCGAGAAGTACTTGTAAAATTCGAAATTAAATATGCGTCCATTCCGACAGAATTCAACAATCTCCCACTCCGTCCCGGCGACCAATCGAGACGATTTTCCAGAGATCACCATTGAGTCCACAATGGAGAAGCTCCTGGAGGTCCGGAATCGCCTGCAGGGCATCTCGGAGCGCTCGCAAGCTCTGGAAACCGGGGTGCAGTCTCTCCGACGTGTGCTGACCGCCCAGGCCCAAAGAGATAGTAAGAATGCCTTGGGAAAACTGGAGGAGCTACGGCAAATACGGGAAGCCATCTCATCCGCGAAGAAAGATAATGAAGATGAACTCAGGAAAGCTTTAGGCCGTATCTTATTCGTGAAGGATGGGGAGATGTTGGAAGATAATGAAGCTTCAGTCAGTGGAGTTTTAGGCTGTAATTTTCACTAAAAACAATACATTATTGAAGAAACAAAGGAACGAGCGTATGTTCGAGTGGTTTTTTGGGTGTGTGTCTTTTTGGGACTGAGAGCACGTGCCCTTGACCGTGGCATAATACCGAAAAATACCCAGGCACACGCTATCAAGAGTCGGAGGCATTCGTCATAGCGGAACCACGCCTGGGAGGAGAAGATCACCATGTACTCGTATACGTATTGTATATGTGGCAAGGTCTATTCAGACACCAGAATAAAAGGTAGCTCTCCCTCCTGTTCCACCTCCACTTGTGATTCTCCCAACCGCAAATGGGAGCGGGAGGAGAGAAGAGAGCGAACTAAACACAAACTGAATGCAAAATTTGCAGCATGCGTCATTAGGCTGGCTGCTGCTGCTGCTCGTGGGGCTGAGGGGGGAGTACTGTGGAGTGCCAGTGGAGTGGCTGTGCCAGTGCAAGTGGAAGTGGCATTGACGCTGCCGCTGCCGTTTCGACGCACGCTTCGCTGGTCAGTCATTAAGTGAGTCAGCGGGTTGGTTGAAGTGCTGACTGACCAGTTCCTTCCTCGCTCTCGCTCTCGGCCAGGCCCAGACACAGACACCACCCTCCAGGTGTGTGTGTGTGTGTGTTAGCCTGTGGCGAGTGATAAAAGGCAGTCAGGGCAATGTGGCTGCGGCTGCTGCTGCTGCTACGCCTACACAGACGACTCTGGGCCCATCGTTTAAAACAATTCCAGGGGAGCGTGCGGCCAGGGCAGGGGCTTCCACAGATGCATGCAAAATTGAGAGAGATGGAGAGTGAGAGGGCTGTCCATGGAATCTGCTTATTCCTGTTCTATTCCCACAGCGAGAACTGTAGCCAAGGTGTATTATTAGGTGAGGTGCAACAGCTGCTACTGTCGAAAAAGAGAGCCTCAAACAACAACAACGACCCCCTGGATGATTGAGAATTGATTTTCTTTTCTTCAGGCTATAGGAACGCCCCACCTTATTTTGATTACGCATTGGCTGTAGCGCATCTATCCTTCGGCTAGACCCAAGCTCACACGCCCACACACTCTGTCTGTCTGTCTGTCTGTCTGTCTGTCGATTCTCTTTGGGGGCTAATGTCCGGGCTTCTTGTTGCTCTCTGTTTTCTCTCTCTCTCTCTCTCTCGGTCTTCGCTCATCATTCGGGTCGAATAGTACGAGTACTCGTAAAATCCTTGAACGAGATCATCAATCTTGCTTTGTTGTACTCGTACTCGTAGCTCCCATTCCCTTTCCAGTTCCCCCTGTTCGTGGGCCAGGCCCTCCTTTCGCCTTTGTTTTTGCTCTTCTCTTTTTTGCTGTCGCGCCTTTTTTGTATGTCATTTGCCATGCCGCCCGTCCCTTCCGCATTCGGGTAGTATTCCCCGCTTTTTGTTCTTTACTTTATTTATGCCGCCCAGCCTCCCCCCAAACATAGCCCCAACCCCCCACCCACCAAGCAGACAGAGGGACAGCGGAAAAAGCCAGCGGCAAAAACTGCAATCACTTTTTGCTGTTGGTTTTTGTCAGTTTTTTGCGAATTTCACTTTTTTAGTCATTTCCATTTATTTTATTTGCAGTTTAGAGCCCCTCCCCCCCTTCCCAACCACGTACCGTGCCTCCTTTTCCACCCACAAATGGGGAAATGGCGGTGAGTGGAGACAGAAGAGAGCAAAACACAGAGAGAGAGAGAGCGAAAGAGTGGGTGGAAGAGTGAGAGCGGAGCTGGAGCTGGAGCTGGAGGAGTTGGTTGCATTTCATTTATGTTTTTTTTCTTAACTTTTGTTTGGCTGTGTTAGTGCTAGTGTATCTGTTTGCGTGTGTGTGTGATGCAATGACCTCGAACTTTGTTTGCCCATCGCTGCATCTTGAAGATCTTTTTTTTTCTACTATACCCTTGATGAGAGTGGGTACAATATGTTTTGATCAAATGGTTGGAAAGCAGGAAAAGAGGGATTTTGTAAATACCTACACATACATTTGTATATGTACATATATGTGTATGTATGCGTACATAGTGAGTGAGGGGTTGGGGGGTGGGGAGCTGATATTCAGAGCAATATAGCCATCTACAATTCATGTAATAATTCTGTATAAAAACAAATTGCATATAAAACCTGGCAAGGTGTAAAACCTTTCTACTTTGAAATAGTTCCATTAAATTTTAAAGATATCGAAATAAAGGTGCATTCCAAACAGCCTGCACTTTAATACTTTGCAAAGCAACTCAACTATCTAGGAGCTGAACCTACTAGGGTATCAAAAGCTTCGACCTTCCCTTTGTTTTTTGCTTGTTTCGGGGCAGTAGTTATCGCATCTGGGCTTGCCGGCTTTCAGCTTTCGGCTTAGGGACTTATGGACTGCAGGGCATGGCCTGGTCAGTCCAGGCGCCCGCCGCACAGGCTTGTGCCCTGCTCCGAGCTTAGTAGGCGGAGAAGCTGCTTATCTGGTCCGCTCATTGGCGGCTTCAGCTTTGAGGTGAAATATTAGGAATTGGAGGAGAACTTTCCACGGGGAGCATGAAGATTTTCGGAAGAGCTCCAAATCATAATTATCATCAAAAGTAGCATGCGAGATTTTGCATTTATATGCATGTACAATAAAAATCAATAAAACTCTACATCCCCACACTCCAGCCACTGGGAGCGAGAGAGAGAGAGAGAGAGAGAGCTCGTGTGAAAGAGCGGACAGTGGCACTACCACAAGTTCAACAGCCCACGCATACAGGCAAGCCGGCACTCAACCCTTCACACAGATACACCGGCAATAAAAACTGCAATAATATTCGTGTGTAAGCAGTGCAAAAAAACGACTCTCTCTCTCTCACCAATACAATGGCAAGCAGGCGGCCCTCAAAGCTGGACGCAGCAGCAGCAGCAGCAGAAGCAGCTCCAAATTCGCTGTCGCTCGTTCTCCCAACTCGTTCGCTCCTCTCCCAAATGGCAGAGCGGCGCTCGCTCGCTGGCAGCACGCGTTGCATGCTGTGACTGCGACTGCGAAAGCGGCTGCGATGCCTGCAACATTTTGCGGCTGCTCTCGAAATCTAAATTTCAAGTTCGTCTCCCATGCAACTCATCCGGTGTCAGAGAGTTTTGGCCAGCTTCAACTAGAGCCCACACCAGCACCCGCATTTTGTCTACGGCTACGGTTGCACGATGTTTTTTCCCCACATGCTATTTCAGGGCACACTAATCGCACAGGAATACGGTCACATTTGGCTGCAATGATATTTACAGGGACCCGTCGGTGTTTCTAGCTGGAGAAGACGGTCCAGCTCTCTGCTGTCTCCGATGTTGTACCAGTGGAATAAAACGTTCTACGAAATAAGTTTGTCTTTCAAAAAGCGTCGGTTAAAAACGTACACTAAATTCCGCTTCTATTACGAGGGACAACCGCAGAAAAGAGAACAAAAAAGCATGCGAAAAACCTATGCGATAAATAAAGCAGCACGAAAAAGGGACAGAGAAAGGGACAGCGGCTGCACCGGGAAGGGCAGAGAGAAGGAACGTGGCCCCAGCTCCAGCTCCAGCTTCAGCACCAGCCCCCGTTCTGGTTGAAAACGAAACCGGATTTCTTTTTTGATTTATTTTTCCCCACTCCCCCGCTCCCCCGCTCCCCCCGCTCCACACCTCTCGCACTCCCACACCACACTTTCATCCAGTTTTGTTTCCTTTTTTTTTTAGAAGTTTTCGAGTTGTCTCGTGTTTGGAGCTGCCTTTTTTTACATTTGACTGAGTTTTCGGAATGCAGTTTCCCTTCTGGAAACTTTGCCCCGTTTTGTTATGTTCCGCTGCAGCAGCAGTGGGTTCCGGGGATCCGGGGCTCCGGGGCTCCGTGGCTCGGGCTGCGGTTCCGGGGGGTGGGTTCTCTTCTTTATGGTTTTATTTTATTGGATGGTTTATGTTTATTTTCCACTGCCCGGTTTCCGTGTAATGTTTTGCATATTTTTGTGGAGTGAAACAGGTTTTACTTTTTATTTATTTCATGTATTTCTGTTTTATTTTTTGAATTTCTCGCCAACCAAAAAGGAATACGAAAAGCTTTTGTTTTGATTTTGAAATGGAACTGGTTTTCTGAGTCAGTTGGTTGCTTGTCCAGATCGTGTGAGGGATGGGGTGGGGTGGGGGGAAGTTGGAGGCACCACCTTCAAGAACTTGTGGCCCAGTGCCCCACCATTAAGTCGGCTTTGCCTCTGCCTCCTCGTTGTCCTTTCGGGCACCACTACTGCTGCTGCCGTTTCTGCTGGGAAGTCGCACCATGTCCACGTTGTAGAGCCGAAAGCCGACCTTCTTGCAGCGCAAATTGAGGGTGACGACCATGCAGTAGAGCAGGACCATGAGTTGTCTGGCCCGCAGCAAATACGAAGCACCCATGCCGTCAGGGAAGATCGGCTTGTCCCACTCGGAGCAGTCGTAGAGAAAGTAGCCGCCGTCGTGGCTGGAGCTAAAGCCGAAGGCGAGGCGCCGCTCTTGGCACTCGAGGATGCCCCATTGGAAGCGCGTAAAGAAGTAGCTGAGAGCCTCCAGGAGACTCATGGAGGAGCTGGCCGGGGCGCTGTAGACATGCCCGAAGGCCACCAGCTCCATCTGCACTAGGAAGTGGATGTCCTGGAAGTCGCACTGGACGGACATCTCGTCGGGACCGAGGTTCTGGTCCCACCGCTGGCTGTACTCCACACTGGCCCGGTAGTATTTGTCCCCGTTCACGACAATCGCGTCCAAGAGCTTGCTGGTCCAGTCGCCGAGCCGCCGGAAGATGCTGGCTGCACAGCAGGCCACGACGTAGCAGCCCAGGGACTGGCGACCCCGCACCCTGCTATCGAACCAGGGGGCCCGCGGATGCAGTCCGCCCCACATCGACCAGAGGCGATTCTCGATCTCCACGTCGAATTCCCGCCAGCGGGTGTCGCTCTGATGGCGCGGGCGGCCCTCGAGGTTATATCTCAGTCTTCGACTCCAGATCGGAGAACTGTTGCCGGGCACCAGCCAGGTCATAGACTCGCTGCGAACGGTCTGAGACGCGGGCTGCTTGAGCAGCTTCATCAGACCGGCGATGGCGGCCGGATCTTCGGACTTCTGATGATGCACCATCTCTCGGCCTCGAACCGAAGAGGGTTGGCAGCGATCGTGGAGCGGCTGCAGAATCAGCGATCACCAAGCGCTTGAAGCCAGTCTCTGGCCACATTTTGGGACTCCACGGTACTCCAGCTGGTATGAGGCTGGTATGGGGATGAAACGGGAAATTTGATAGGGGGGAAACTACGGAGAAAGTCAGGAGACACACAATTTAAAACTGAATGAAAAGGCACAGCCTTCCAAAGCCAACGAGGGGGAACGTTGTGAGTTGCTGCGGACACCGCAACTCTACAGTTATACCCGATACTAAGTCAGTATGGCTCTCCTCCGGCAGACGCCGCTAATATTAAACGACACGACAAAGAGTGCGTGCGAGAGAGACAGAAAATCAGTCTGAGCGTGACGTCGGGCGCTGCGTAGCCACTAAAAATTGATTTCTTGCTTTTGGCTACAAAAATGATCCGATCTGATCCAGATTCGGCAACCGGATAGATATGGTCATTGTCTATGATTCTGCGTTTTTAGTTTACTCGATTTTGCAATATTGTGGATGCAACAGATTTTCGTCCTTTGTGTGGGCGGAAGGGGGTGGGGCGAAATTTTGAGATATACGTTTTATAGTGAGATCTAACAGGAGTGCGGATACCAAATTTGGTTACTCTAGCCTTAATAGTCTCTGAGATTTATGAATATCCCCAGATCTGCATCCTTTGCGGGGGCGGAAGGGGGTGTGGCGAAATTTTGAAACAAACTCGTCTCGGTCCGATATATTAGGGGTGTGGATACCAAATTTGGTTGCTCTAGCTTTTATAGTCTCTGAGATCTAGGCGCTAATGTTTTACTCTAAGCAAAGCCGCCTATGCTACGTGTGTGTTAGAGAGAGACAGGGCGAGAAAAAATGAAATTGTTTTCTTGATGCTGGCTATAATAATAATACGATCCAATTCAGATTCCGCAGTCTAAAAGATATCGTCATTCTCTACGATTCTGCATTTTTGGTTTTCTCGTATCTTTAAAATTGTGGATGCCACAGATTTTCGCCCTTTGTGGGGGCGGAAGTGGGCGGGGCAAAGTTTTGAAATATTTTTGTAGCAGTGACATATCACAGAAGTCTGGATCCAAAACATCGTTGCTCTAGCTCTTATAGTCTTTGAGCATTAGGCGCTGAAGGGGACGGACAGACGGACAGACGGACAGACGGACAGACGGACGGACGGACAGACAGACAGGGCTCAATCGACTCGGCTATTGATGCTGATCAAGAATATATATACTTTATAGGGTCGGAAACGATTCCTTCTGGACGTTACACACATCCACTTTTACCACAAATCTAATATACCCCAATACTCATTTTGAGTATCGGGTATAAAAAGGCTGCTGTAATGAGGCTGCTTCATCACTCCCCCATAGTCACGTGGAGTCACGAAACGAAAGAAAAATGCATCGATCGTGTTTTCTTGTAATGTGTAATCACTGTTGCTACAAACACACACTGATGGCATTGGATCAGAGTCCACAGTGTATGATTTAAAGTGCCACTTCACGCTCTCTAATCGGTTAAATTTCGGAAGAGGTCCAGAGACTAATTTACCAGTTGCTCTGCGCTCTTACAGCGCTTGAACTCCTCGAGGACCTTCTTGGTTTTCTTGAGCAGACACTCCCTTGACAAATACAAGTCCTTTTCCATCTGGGCCAGCCTGCGTCCAATCCTGTCCTGCATACTCTGGAGGATGGCCATGTCCCGCTCGGCCCGGTCTTTGCTGATCTTGCTGTTGCCCAATTTGTCGCAGAATGCTTCAAAGTTCTGGTCCAAAGCGACCATCTTGCACTCCATGCCACTGATTTTCTGCTTGAGATCCTTGACGCGACTGTTCAAGTCCTGCAGAGGCTCGACTGTGTCTGATTCCTCGGGCTTTTGCTTGGCGTCACTTGGTGTCTGATAAATCTCGCAAACCTTCGACAAGCTGCCACGAAACTGTTCCCAATCAACGCTGTCAAGGTCGCCATCCATGTTATTTGTGAAATCGTTGATCTTTACGACAAGTTGATTGATTTCATCCTCCTTGCTAACAGCATCTTCGGCAGACTTCTCTTCAAGGATCTCTTTCGTTTCGTCCGTCTTGTCAATGTCTTGGTCTATCTCGCTGGATGTCTGGGGTTCGGCCTGGAGATCGACCAGGGGATCCGCCTGGGACTCGTCCTGCGGCTCGTCCTGGGACTCGTCCTGCGGCTCGTCCTGCGACTCGTCCTGCGGCTCGTCCTGCGACTCGTCTTGCGGCTCGTCCTGCGACTCGTCTTGCGGCTCGTCCTGCGACTCGTCTTGTGGCTCGTCCTCCAGCTCGTCCTGCGACTCGTCTTGTGGCTCGTCCTCCAGCACGTCCTGCGGCTCGTCCTGCGGCTCTTCCTGCGGCTCGTCCTGCAGCTCGTCCTGCGGCTCGTCCTGCGGCTCGACCTGGGTCTCGACCTGGGGCTTGTACTGGGGCTTGACCTGGGGCTTGACCTGGGGCTTGACCTGGGGCTTGACCTGGGGCTTGACCTGGGGCTTGACCTGGGGCTTGACCTGGGGCTTGACCTGGGGCTTGACCTGGGGCTTGACCTGGGTCTTGGCCTGCGGCTTGAACACGGGCTCTTTGACTGGGTGGTCTCTCTTATAGCCACACATTATGCCCCTCTGTGGGTTGAGCACTTGTTCGTTTATTCCGTAAACGGATACCTTTTCGACCCAGCCACGTACCTTAATCAGTGTCGACTTGAGGTTCTTGGCCTTAGAGATCGCCTTCGTCATGAATTCATTGCGCATTTCTTTGACCAACTCCTGGATTTGGCCAGAAGCCGCATAGTCGGCCGACAAGCGCTTCTGATAGTCACCGCAGTCGTCTTCCTCCGTTGGCTTATCCAGCGACTCGTACTCGATCAAACCCTTCTGCGAGGGTGCATGCAAATGTTGGTTACTCCAGCATCCCATGGGATAATCTCGCTTTAGAGGCGATACTTACCTCCACCATGAAGCCCAGATGTATGGCGTCGGAGGTCAGCTGCACACCCACCGGATCCTGGTTCAAACTGTCCTTGGGGGCGGGCAGACCGTAAGGAGATTGGACCACCTCGTTATCTGGCTCAGCCTCCCCGATTCCCATGGAAGCATCGTCCGTAGGCTGCTCCCGATTCGATTCCATTTTACCGAAAATTTACAATTTAAAAATGTTTCACGTTCGTCTGTATTGGAATAATAACAAATTTAAAATGATTTGTGGCTCCGATTTGATGTGAAGATACAAAACGAAATGACAGTTGACACTTGGCCTGGGCCTAGGCCTACTTTTTGAGCCAGTGCTAATGGGGAAGGGGGGTTCCTACTTTTTGGGCCAGTGCTAATGGGGAAGGGGGGGTTCCCTGATCTGATTATGGTTGACCCGCCCGGGAGCAGTACGAGTACAACCAGAAATTAAGTTCGCGTTGCAGCAACGCATTAGCGCAACCAATAATTTGAGGCATCGTAAACACGTCGTAAATGTTGCACTGGCAAATTTTAGGCCTTAATTTTCTATAGAAGACAACGGGGAGGACAAGGGAGTCCCCTCCCTCTCCTGGCTCCTGCCTCATTGCTCTCCAGCAGGGAGCTTCTTGCAACTGCAAGGCGTAATTACAGTCCATTAAATTCGCAGCGTTTGCTCCGCGGTTGCTTCTTTCACTTGGCGCATGCATGATAAGTGCCACTTGCCACTTGCCGCTTGCCTCCTTGGCACTCGCCCCATCCCCATTCACATCCCCACCACCTTGGCCAACGTGCGTTCATCAAAGGGAAATGAAAACGTTTCGCATTTCTCTTTTCGCTGCTCTTTCTGTGGCATGCAACAGCAGCGGTCTTTGTGTCTGTCGGTCTCTGAGGTGTAACATACAAGCAAAATATACATATGTACGTATATTCTTATGCTGCAAGGGCATATTCGATTCCGCAAAACTGAACCCAGAACTCATTTTTTGGACCCTGATTTACCAGCTTAAAATAAATAATAACGAGTTCCATAGTCATAAGCCCTGAAAAAGGTTACACGTAAAGACAATAAAGAATGAGTTCCAAGAATGGTAATCCGTAAGGGCTACGACACATATTCAATGAAAGTATGGACTGGGAATCCGTTTGCTTCAGGAAATTCCCGGAATATTCAGAGTGGCATCCCCTCGAGAGGCAATGCAGGGTGATCCAAGAGTCGGCTCTTCAGCTAAAAGTCCCCATTTGTTTTCTCTTATTTTAATTAGAGCCTTGTGCCACTCGGTGTCCGTTTGTCTTCTCACCGCTGACTCTTGTGGCCCCCAAGTTAGTTAGGATTCAACCTGACTCTGCCTCTGCCTCTGTCCCTGCCTTAAGACATATAGCAGTGGCACTTCTCAGCCAGTAATTACATAACTCGCTGCCATGCCATCCAGTTGACCATGGCCATGGCCGTGGCTAGAAGATGTCGGAACGAACGGCTGCCACAGCCACAGCCACTGCCACTGCAACTGCCGCCCCTGATAGGTTAATCAATTTATTTGAATGCGGAACGCGGACGAGTGTAATTGCCCCTGCGATGCTTATCGTCGAGTTGATGGAAAAGAATGGGATAAGAGAGCCATCCCAGCGATCGCAAATAAAATGCGGATAAGTGGGTCTGGATGAAATAAAGAGATCCAATCCAAGATGATCCCATCTCTAATATGGCATTTCCTAGCATTTCCCGCAAGTATCTGAGAGTGGAATATTAATAGACCTGGCAGCAAACCGATTCAAGTGGGTCACAAAGCAGATATGATAAGGCCAGAGCCGGGGCAGAGCAAATGATCGACTATTAATAGAGGTGGCCTGGCGTGGATAAAGCGAGGAAAGCGTCGCGTCGCTGGGAAAACTGGATGGATGGAAATTGTGTGACCAATCGGCAGAAAGTCAAGGCTTCGGTTACCACCAAAAAGGTGGAGTCCGATGACGATCTTTCTCCTTGATCTTGCCGAGAGACAGAGTTCCGATCCCCCTTTTCTGGCTTTATCCAGCCATGCCAACCGCTGGTTTTAAGTTAATTTTTTTGAATTATAACCAAGTCCCCAGTGTCCCATCTACTCGTAAAACATTCATCTTATATATTATATTATGACGGTGGATTTTTCCGCTGCGGTTTTTCTGCTATTTGCTATGATTAATTTTATTATTATTATTCCTGCTCATTGTTTGCAGCCGAATAAAAAAAACGAAATAAAAACAAATGCTGCTTAAAACAGTATCGAATTATTGGATAGATGTTCGGAGAACAATGACGGGGGGAGGCCGAATGCAATTAAATTAAAACTGCACAAACATGCACAATTTACATAAATGAATCCCGTGATGATTTATTAATTTCATTTTGTATTAAAATCCAGCATAATTTGCAAAGCTTTTTATATGCACAACATATATCAATGAGGGAACAAAACACGCGCGCGTCCAATACATCCAAAAAAAGGAGAAGGAATGCTTTATAATTGGAATTAATTGGAAAACTTGTCGGATCAGAGAAAAGCGGAATGACAAATTGTTGATTATATTGCTATTATAAAAGCATGATTTGCCGAGGCAGAAAAACCCGAGCCTAATTAGCTGTTTTTGTGCCAGGCGCCTGCATTCCATCTCTATTCCTCCATGTCATTGTGGCATCTCCAGGCACCATCAATCGATATGGTGCGGACTTCAGAGAAGCCTCGGCCAGATCTTGCACTTGCCTGCCCTATCGCGGCCGTGCCAATGTCTTTGCGCCTTCGTCCAGAAAGGTCAGGGATGCGGTCCGTCTTGGACAGAGAGATAAGGGCGCATGGACAAGAGCCCCCATTGTTCTCGATTTGCTTGTGATGTGGGAGGGGGCACACAGGGCCACAGAGCTGCCAGGGGAATGACACATATAGTAATTGTGGAAATACTTAAATCCCACTAAAAAATGAGTTTCTCTTTTGGTAATGAGTGAGATTCGCCTGGAAACCTTGAAGTGGCGAGTGCCTGAATCGAACCGTAAAGTGCAACACAATTTCTCCGCCCCTCGAAGCCTCACCTGCCACACAGCACTTGCTCCTGCCACAGCCCACACATGCCACAAGTTGAATTTTCATTATACTCTTTCGTAGAGAGTGTGTTATGATTTCAATGAGGTGTTTGCTAGGCAGAAACTGCGGCCTTCAATGATATATAATCCAAATCAACAGCGAGGCAATGTGCTTCGATTTTCTACATATTCCTTTTATATTTGATGACTCCAGCATAAGAATTTGTGCCCGTCTAGCAATAGACAGATCCGAAAGTGTATAAAAACCATCAACCCCTTGAAGCAGCCAATTTTGTGTACTTAATTTTTCGTTTTGTTGCATTTTGTTTTGGCCGCCAGTCGGCTGACCGAACTTGAAATTTGATATCCACTACAACAGCGGCACCAGACCAACAATTGCAACCTGTTGCAAGTAGTTGTTGCCTTAGCCAGAGCCGAAACTCGATGTTGTTTGCTGTTGCTGTGGCTATGGCTGTTGCTGTTGCTTTTTTGTCGCCAAATCCTGTGCTGTGATACTGTGATGCTGTGGCGTTTGCCCACGTGGTGTCATGAACTTGCCAATCCATTCCGGTGAAAACCAACAAGGTTGCTGCTGCTGCTGTTGCCTCTGTTGCTGCTGTTGGGGAGAAATTTTCCTGTGGAAAGTCGTTAAAATATTTCTGTTCACACAGCTCGAGTATGAGTATGAGTAGGAGGAAGAGGAGATCTGCTGGAAGGAGCCTTCTTCTCCACAAAGGATCTCGCATGCAGCCCAGGAAAAGATTGGTGCTGGAAAGAGCCACAACAGTCGACACCCAAACAAAATCCATGGGGCTTTTAATTGTCAAAAGTGTAATGCGACAGCGATGCATCAACCGGAAAGAGAGCAGAGCCCCGGCCATGATGATGACAAAGGCCCAGCACGAGGCGTCATGCCACTGGTCTCGTGTAACAGCCGCCTGGGTGGATGGTGGCAACACTTGAGCCAACACGCCGTCGGCCGGGGACACGTGTCTGGCTGAAAGCAGGCAGGCAGGGTGGGGGGACGGGATGGTATGGGCTGGCAGGCAAGTGGCTAATTAGGGCTACGACAGCCACTCCTCAAAGTAAGACACCTCAGTGGCTGCCAAATCAAAACGACAGATGATTTGCATTGCAGCAACAGCAACAGCAACAGCAACAGTTCCTCCATCCATTCTCGACTCTTCGCAGATGATGGCGATGGCGTGCAACCGACAAGTCCAACTATTAATCCGAGTATGTGGAACACAATTCCTCTGGCAATTGCCAAGGCAATTTCACAATTATCGCATGTACTCCTCGTACCTTAAAATTCCAGCAACTTGTCCCTGCCCCATCCCCTGCCCCAGCCCCTGTCCAAGCTCCTCCTCCCGTTGCATGAGAGCTAATTGAAAAGCTGCGTGTCCGAGTACGAGCTGGAGAAGATATGTGTGTCTTCTATTGAAGAGCGGGACTGGGACTGGGACTGAGAGTGAGATCGGGACTTGTGTGGTCTTATCGCACTGACAGTTGTCAGTGCCGATAACTGACACTTTACACCAAACCATTTATGTTCTATGTTCGGTCTAGCACTTTCTGGTCTGGATCTGGGTCTGGGTCTGGGTCCCTCCTCGCTCTGACATTATTTGTCAGAGATTTTTTGACTGGTTGCTGGATGGGTCGGTTTCCTAGCGGTGTTCCAAGAGCGTCAGGAAATGAGACTCTGGGATAAGGCGAAGACAAATGGACAGATTGACGGGAGAAGATTCAGATTCAGATTGGGATTCAGATGCAGAATGCAATCTTCCACACTTCCTTGTTGGCCCTCTGACTCTGCCTCTCCCTCTCCTGAATGACACAACACAATAATGGCCAAGACCTAACCCAAATACCAACGCATTGTCCAAGCTAATGAGCGGGCCACTTAGGAGCGCATTCCTGCAACTCATGGAACATCACCGAAGTGTGCGCAACTTTAATTTCCAGCGCCATAAATCAAATCCGCGACCCAGCCAGCCAGCAAGCAACCAGCAAGCAGCAAGCAGCCAGCCACCAAGTCAGAGCCAACTCTAAATGAAGTAGTTACCAGTTGCCATCGACCAGGCCGCCGCGCATTGAACGCCATTCATCATCATCATCATCATCGCCATGTCCATGATGCAGGGAATTCAATTCACGCCTGCGAGGAATGCCTTTGAGAGTGCACCAGCAGTGGTGCATCCCCATATACCCATGTCCCCAGCAGCAGCAGCAGCAGCAGCACCAGTTGCAGTTGCAGTGCGTCGCATGAGGCGATAATTAGCGCGCAATTGTCGTTAACGCCGCCTTTGTCTACGTCTATTCCTGCCATGTCCACCGGGGGAGCAAAGGTGGGACGGGTAGACGGGGGGACGGGGGGACGGGAGAACCCTGAGTCAGCAGCAGTTGATCGTCCGCCAGGAACGTGACGAGCACCACAATTGCAGTCAATCAACGATTGGATGAGATGTGGCTGGGATGGGGCTGGGGTTGGGTTAGATTGGGATTGGGATTGGATGAGATGATCACCGGCAGAAGGTGTACACTGTACATACGTCGCGTCGATTATTCTATGCAGCAAAGACTCGGCAAAAGAGCTCCTCTAGGAGCAACCGGTTCCTGCATAAATCATAAAATAAAAGACACTAAAAGCGAAAATAAATCACGAGAGCGCATGGGGGAAACCGGGCGGACATTAGAGAAATTTGCCTGGCCACAGGACCGGCTACCGGCTACCGGGCTACCGGCTGCCCGAGATCCCCTGGCCGAATATTAATTGTGAGTGCACCGGGCGCATCAATTCAAAGCTGGGGACTCTCCTGCTCTGCTCTGCTCTGCTCGAACACTCCACAATCCCGCGGCGAACCACCACAGCCACAGCGCATGCGTGGCTGGATGAGGTATGGGACCTGAATATAGTCTCCGATTGCCTTTGAAATATGACGCCCAGTTTTTGCGCACTTGGAAATGGATTTCTCTGGCGGGGCCATTTCCAATGCGAATGGAGCGTGGATTTCCGAGAATTCAACAAAACATGGGCGTTATTCTCCTCCATTTGTGCAAATGAACCTCTGGAATGGCTGCTGGAACGGCTGCTGGATGGTTGTGAAGCATGCGAGTGAGATTCAAATTTGCCACAATTATAGTACATATGTATGCCACAATTCTTGGCCAGAATGGAAGGGTGAACCAAAGCAAACCAAACCAAACCAATTTCGGGAGATTGTTCCCGCCAATTAACAATAAACGAATGTTAATCGATTCAAAGTACAGTTGCCGTATGTTCTGCTAGTCTGCAGTCGAAATGCCATTACGGACACATGCTAATGATGCCCCACATCTCTCTCCCTCTCTCTCTCTCTCTCTCTCTCTCTCTCTCTCTTTCGCTCTGTGGCTCTGTGTAGATCTCTGGCCTAAACGCGATGAATCTGCAGTTTCTCTGGCCCATAAACTGACTGCCAACTACCGACTTCTGTCCGTTTGCGAATGAATGCCTCCTATGGCGTCGACTCAAGTCGGCAGGAAAAACCGGCAGTCAGCAGCAGGCAGTGTATGGCAGAAGGAAGTAGGCAGAAGGCAGAAGGGGTGGTGGGGGATGGGGCCTCCTCCAGGCAAGACCCAAGCACCAAAGCGGCGGCAAAAAGTGGCAAATGTAATTTAATAAATTAATTACATCAATTAGTTGCTGCATTTTTATTGAAATTGCTGTAAATATTGGGCTAGACAACTCGGCCAGCAGCCAGCAACCAGCAACGGCCAGCAGCCAGTGGCACTACTGTCTGCCATTCCGCCTGGATTTATGGAGCATTTCTCATCGCCCGGCAATGGAGCAGCGAAGCCTGCCTAACTTATGGGAAATTTATTCGATGTGGAATCGGTAGGAGTGTCCCTCCGGCCCGGAGTTAATGAAGGCGCTTTGTATTGATTAGCCCGTGGAAGGGGAGACAAATGGGTATTCAAATGTGTGGGGTATGTGGGGTGCGTGTTTGGTGGGGGGGGGGGGACAAGTTATTAGATCTAAAACAATTTTCAAAAGGGAAAGAGGGCAGGGAAGGGGGCACTCAATCGATTTACAGTCCATTATGTCAGTCAGATCCGCAACCTGCCCCAACTCTTTGTCTTGGGATGGCTTCATTTATAGTGTCAAGCGTGTTGTGAGGGGGAGGACGTGACTAAACTGCTACCTACACCATCTGCATAATCCGTCGGGAATTACTTTGGAAAATGCCCAAAAACCAATCGAAACAAAGACAGACCTGCCTGCCCAGGCCCCATGCTAGAACATTGGCTGCATATTGATGTGGGGGGATGCCGATGCCTATGCCGATGCCGATGCAATAACATCCAAAATACACATCCAAAATCCACACATCAACCATATTCGTAGCTGCAAATGTAAATGCAAATGCAAATGCAGCAGCGCCCCGTGATTGATTCAGCTGTGGATCGTGTTGAGCTGTTTTGTGTCGCGCTTTTGGGGTCAGTGTCAGCGGGAGGTCGTGGCAGCCGCTCCCGCTCCCGCACCCGCACCCGCACCCGGACCCGGACCCGCCCCTCCCATCTTCGATCACACACGCAATCCGCATCTTAAGCAGAGCCCCCTTTCGACGGGGGTCTCGTATGTATATATATTCCAGCCCCACCGCCAGAGCACCGTGTAGTCATGACAATGGAACTCAGCTCGACGGTTGCCTGTGTGCTAGCCACTCTCTTTGTTCTGGGCCTGGTCCAGGCGGATGTGGGCGTGGCACAGCAGCGCCTCCGCCTGCAACAGCAGCGACAGTCGTCCTATCCAGCGGCTGGCTACAAGCCGGCCAGGCAATTCCCCCTCCCCGCGGCCGGAGATCAGCCGCAGTCCGCCCGGCTGGTGGCCACCGGTGCCCAGCCGCAATCCGCTCGCCTGGTGGCCAACAGCGAAGCGCAGGAGGATCTCGACGATGCCGCCGAGGAAGTGGAGGTGCCCATGTCGAAAGTAGCAGCACCTGTTCCAGCAGCAGCTCCAGCTCCAGCTCCAGGTCGAGGTCCTGGCGCCGTGCCTGTCCCAGCCGCAGTCCCATTCACACCCACAATCGCATACTATCCGGCGGGAGCTGTGGGCTTTGTCCATCCAACGGCATACGCCAAAATCATTGCAGCTCCGCAACTGCCACAGGCGGCATTCGCAGCCCCGCAACTGCCACAGGCGGCATCTGCCTATGTGACCGCGCCCCAGTACTACGCCGCTTACTTTGGATAAGTCGCAAGAAGACGGGGGATGGGGATGGTGGAGACGTACCTTAGCCACCATAAAATATATTCTAATAAAAGTTGATTGTTACTGTTGAACACACTGACTGGCTCTGTCCGGGATATGATGTCCCGAAGATACATATTCCGACTCCTAGAGGCTGCTGCTGCTGCTGCTTCTGCTTCTGCTTCCAGAATTAATCTTGCTCATAGTTTAATTGCGCGCTTCTCCTGCCCTCGTGCCGCCTGCCCTTGTGCCTCCTGCAACTACTGATCGAAAGCCATGTGATTAGGCATGCTCCATCAACATGCCAAATCTCTGAGACGACGACAACGAATCTTGGCCTCCAGCTTAGGCTGGAAGAACAGACAGAAAGCTGCTTACCGAACGAACGGTAGGCACTCACTGCACCTAACGAGCATTTGTGCAGCATATGCGGGGAGAGAGAGAGAGAGAGGTGAGAAGGGGAGGGAGAGCTGCTCCGACAATGAGTGAGCAAAGATAATCTATTATGACCGTAACAAGAAATAAATCCCAACTCGGTAATCCATCATTTTACGACTTGGCAATCAAAACAAGGAGTTTAACTAAAAGAGTCAGAGTCTCGGCCTGCCCCGCAGGACTGACGACTGACGACTGGCGGACAGTCAGTCGAATAGTCGAATAGTCGAATAGTTGACTCTGGCTTTGGCTTTGGCTTTGGCTGTGGCTCTAGCTCTAGCTCTGGCCCAATCAACGACAACCAGGTTGGATTTTGCTAACGAACAAGTCGAGAGTCATGTTAACGTTGGCCAGAACTAGAATCGCAGCTCTCTGGCTCCCTGGTTGTTGTGGCCGCCTGTCCTAAGATTGTTTGGGCCTGGTCAGGAAACATGCATTTTGGACAGGCTCATTGGCCGCATGCACATTCAGGCCAAATCAAAGGAGCAACTGGTGGAAAGCTGGCTCAATTTACGGGGCTGCCTGACGTGACGACATAGCCAAGTTGGCAGCTCTGGGCCATTTTGGGGGCCCCCGACTAAATAGTTGCCAATAATCCGTGTCCAAACTGATCGGGCTGCCTTTTATGGCCATGGACGAAATTAGATGCCAAAATGCGGCGACCGACGATCGCTGGATGGAGAGGAGTGAAGTGGTGTGGCGGATGGGAGGGGAGGAGAGGGGAGGCGAAGGATGGATGCTTCATTACCGATGCACAAACTTGGGCGTGTGCGTCTCGGTTGATTTGCAACGGTTCTCGGCCAAACATTTTGCATTATTATTGCTTCATCAAGTGTCCAGCAGCAGCAGCCAACGCAGATGGGGCACGCCGCAACGGAATGCCAATCATTGCAGAAACCTAAGCAGTGACTGCCTGCCTGCCCCCAACGAATCGGACAAAGGCACTAGACAGAAGACACTTGAGACATATGAGACAACTGAGGCACAAGAGACACACACGACCCGTAAGAGCATTTGGAACTGCTCAAACATTTTTGAAATCGCATTTAGAGGTGAAGGTGCAACAGTTGGTGGCATAAACGATTCTGACTGGCCCCAAATACGCCTGGAATAGTATGAAGGCGGAATATCCTTTGTTAACTTTTCCACTTATTTGTGGCGTGCATATTCATTGAACGTCACTTTATTTGATCAAAGTCGATACATTTGTTTAAATAAAAACCCTAACATGGCATTTTTCCATTATCCGAGATCTGTTCAGCGCCTGATCTGTGGAAAGTGAAACTAAATTAACGAAATTAGAAAGCGTTTCGGCGCACTTTATTTTAACCTAATTTATTGGGTAAATGAGATCTAAGATCTGTAAATCTGTTGTGCTCCCTCACCAAATGATAATTAATAACCACAACCAAAGGTCAGTCCAATTTTTTATTCTAACAGTGAATTTTTGTAGGCCGGAAGGTGGATGCTGATATGAAGCGATTCTGGAATTACTTCTTCTTGGTGTTGTCAATTAGCTCTCGTATTTTGTCGTTCATTCGCTGGACCAGCGTTTGGGGATCATCTACATGGGGCACCTAGAAACAGATTTATGTAACAGTAGAGCTAATCTAAGACTGGAAGGTGCAGCTGTACCTGATAGTTTTGGGATGTGTAGATGCCCGTGTAAATTCCGGCTCCAAAGGTCAGCTGCAAGAGAAGGCGGAAAGATGGAAACTGTTAAAGTGTGTTGCATTGGAGCGTTTTCACACTACTGGCTGACCAGAGAGAAGCACAGGGTTCGTTTGAAGTTCCAGAATGGCTTCTTTGGGCAGTACGGAATCGTGTCCTGCATCTCAGGGCAGCAGCTGTAGGAGGGGCGGCCGTTGCCCGCTCCACATCTGGCTTTCATCAGTTGCAGACCGACTCCCAGCAACTTCATTTTTGTGAAATTTATTTACAAATATTAATTTTTACTGACGAATTTTGTTTGGAAATTTTACCAGATTCCAGGAGATTACTGGGATCGGATTTGGGAAAATATCTATGACTGACCACTGAAACAAATATTATGTATACAATTGGATTTACGTTCCGTTAAAGTTGTCCAGCAGCCAACGCAGATGGGGATTTGAGGAGCTGAGAAGGCCAGAACAGAATCACAATCATTGCAGAAACCTAAGCAGTGACTGCCTGCCTGCCCCCAACGAATCAGTCAAAGGCAAAGCCACAAAAGACATGAGAGACGACCCGTAAGAGCATTTGGAACTGCTCAAACATTTTTGAAATCGCATTTAGAGGTGAAGGTGCAACAGTTAGTGGCATATCTGGTGGCATATCTCCCCAGTTCGCTGCCACATAGAAGGCAGCCACAGGGGCTTAGCAAAGCGGCAGGGTAATTAAAAAGCGAAATGGGTTACCGAACACCCCGACTAGTGTGGGCGGCACACTTTTCGCCCACACGGGACGACGACAGTGGTAGCCGTATCAGTTACCAATCAGTCGGTCTGGAGTGTGGGTGGGTGGGCATTTCTGTTTTTACATTGGGGAGAATGTTTTCCAACGCCAGCGCAGTTGAAAATGAAAAACAAGCAACAGACGCAGTAGCGGCAAATTGAAAAATAACAAAAACGAGCCGCATAAATCCGAATAGCGAAAGAGAAACAAGTATACAGGAAGCAGGCAGAAGATACTATATGTGGTTTGAATAGGTATTATTATAGTATACATATTCTAATAGAGCTATTAGGTGTGACGCCCAGCCGCACATATAAATATTAAAATTCGAAAAATAGGGCGCGCCCGCTCTTCACAGTGAGACCATACCACAGCCACAGACGGGCACATTACCAGCTGATAGAGCACAGTGTGACCGTAGCGAAAAAGACAATGGGCACACTCCAATCGGAGCCAGCATCCGAGGCTTTGGCCTGAAGTTCTCCGTGTCCTTCGCCGCTCTGGAGGTTTTCCCATTTAAAATCAGCTGGCGCATATTATTTTTCAGGGCTCCCTCAGGTGTTTGGGTGTTGCCAGATGGATACTGCATCTACGATCGCGTGCGTCGCGCCAGCAGATGCTACCTGCACACTCTACGACGTACGACGTAAGTGCTTCGCAGGTGCATACATTACCGAAATCGATTCCTTGTTTTCCCCTCTATTTATCTTTTCCATTGACAGTTTTTACTTGGTTCTCCTTTTTTCATTCCTTCCAGCTCTATTCGCCGAGACCCTCTCTGGCCATAAGCTGATATGCCTCGATCTCCTTCTCTTAGCAGGTAAAGTTATTAAGTTATTATTTATTCATTAACTTTATTAAACTCTTCCTCTCATTTCAGCAGGTTGCCCCCTTCGGATGCCAGAAATACCTCTGGTGTGACCGTGGACACCGTTATGACCACCATCGCTTACCAGGAGGGTGACGCAACGCGAACTCTCGGCTCCTGCGCCCCTGATTCCAATCGCGTGAGGCTGTGTCATTTGGCCTGGGCGACATTTGGGTCCAGGCACTGCCATGGCAATCTGCCTTGCGTCCCACGCCGCTTTCTCCGCCTTTCCAGTCCGCTCTCCGTCGGCACCTCCTCCCCATCCTCTCGGGAGGTTCAAGGGATGTCTTCTTGGCTCAACTGACGAAACCACTGGCTGCTACTGACATGCTACTGGCCATAGCCATGATGCCACTGCTGTGCCGCTAAGTCGACAACGTGGTGTCCCGTCCGTTGCAGCATGGACAAGTGATCAACGGCTCACGCGCACTGAAAATATTGTGAGCAACCCCCATTCACACGCCATCGAATCAAACGCTGGGCTTAGAGACGCGTAAGTAAATCAGTATATAAATATGGACATATCTTAAGATGTATCTTCCTTCACAGAGGACTAATGTACCCTTGGATTTGCCTCGAGCCGAGTCGTACCACCACAGTCCTATCAGACAGCAGGACAGAAGCGAACCCTTTGCAAGATCCCAACCTAACAAGTCATCGTCATCCTTCGACCTGGCCATCGACAACAAGTACTTTGACTATGACAATCAAGAGAGGAGCTACGCGGGCTACTAGACTCTAGATAGATTTCGTTGTTGTTAAGTTTAGGGATATACGCGTCCATATATGTATGTATTTAGATAGTAGATACAAATGTTTCCCACTTGTTTATTTATTTATACTAAGCTAAGTAATGACGAATAAAACTATTGAAAAATCGTCCTTGCTGTATCCTGTATCGGAACAACAAAAAATCCAAGAAAATTGTTTGAGTCCTTACCGAAGGATCAAGGACATTATTCTGATCACGGCGGGCCATGGTAACCCCGTTCAAACAAGATATATATGTCTGCAGGAAATATCATTGATCCTTGGTCCTTGATAAGGACTCCAATAGGTCAGGGATATTGTTTGGATCACAAGAAGCCACCGCAAGCCCAGATCGGCCCACAAATAGCCGAGAAAACTAAAAATGTATGGTTGGGGTTGTTGGAGTCCCTACCAAAGGATCAAGGACACATTCTGATCACACTGGGCCATGGCAGGCCCTAATGGAGTCCCAAATAAGGGAAAACATAAGATTTATATGCCTAGGAAAATATCCTTAATCCTTGGTCCTTGATAAGGACTCCATCAGATCAAGGATGTTATTCCAAACACAGGAAGCCGCCGCACGTCCCGATCGGGCCTAAAATAACGAGTTGTAATGTAATGTTGTACAACAACAGCTTTCAAATTGCGACCGCTCAAAGGGAGTAAAACGTTAATTTCAAATCTGGGATACCAGGCAAACAGAAATAGCAAAAAGCCGCTGCTTTTTTTTAATTCCTTTTACTTTTATTTTTACGTTTTTTCATATTTTCTTTGGCCGCTCAAAGGGAGAAAAACGTTAATTTCAAATCTGGGATACCAGGCAAACAGAAATAGCAAAAAGCCGCTCGTATTTTTTAAATTTCTTTTAATTTAATTTTTACGTTTTTTCATATTTTCTTTGGCCGCTCAAAGGGAGAAAAACGTTAATTTCAAATCTGGGATACCAGGCAAACAGAAATAGCAAAAAGCCGCTGCTTTTTTTTAATTCCTTTTACTTTTATTTTTACGTTTTTTCATATTTTCTTTGGCCGCTCAAAGGGAGAAAAACGTTAATTTCAAATCTGGGATACCAGGCAAACAGAAATATTTTTTTTTTTATATTTTCTTTGGCCGCTCAAAGGGAGAAAAACGTTAATTTCAAATCTGGGATACCAGGCAAACAGAAATAGCAAAAAGCCGCAGGTTTTTTTTAAATTCCTTTTAATTTTATTTTTACGTTTTTTTCATATTTTCTTTGGCCGCTCAAAGGGAGAAAAACGTTAATTTTAAATCTGGAATACCAGGCAAACAGAAATAGCAAAAAGCCGCTCGTTTTTTTTAATTTCTTTTAATTTTATTTTTACGTTTTTTTCATATTTTCTTTGGCCGCTCAAAGGGAGAAAAACGTTAATTTCAAATCTGGGATACCAGGCAAACAGAAATAGCAAACAGCCGCTGCTTTTTTTTTAATTCCTTTTAATTTTATTTTTACGTTTTTTCATATTTTCTTTGGCCGCTCAAAGGGAGACAAACGTTAATTTCAAATCTGGAATACCAGGCAAACAGAAATAGCAAAAAGCCGATCGTTTTTTTTTTTAATTTCTTTTAATTTTATTTTTACGTTTTTTTCATATTTTCTTTGGCCGCTCAAAGGGAGAAAAACGTTAATTTCAAATCTGGGATACCAGGCAAACAGAAATAGCAAAAAGCCGATCGTTTTTTTTTTAATTTCTTTTAATTTTATTTTTACGTTTTTTTCATATTTTCTTTGGCCGCTCAAAGGGAGAAAAACGTTAATTTCAAATCTGGAATACCAGGCAAACAGAAATAGCAAAAAGCCGCTCGTTTTTTTAAAATTTCTTTTAATTTTATTTTTACGTTTTTTTCATATTTTCTTTGGCCGCTCAAAGGGAGAAAAACGTTAATTTCAAATCTGGAATACCAGGCAAACAGAAATAGCAAAAAGCCGCTCGTTTTTTTTTAATTTCTTTTAATTTTATTTTTACGTTTTTTTCATATTTTCTTTGGCCGCTCAAAGGGAGAAAAACGTTAATTTCAAATCAGGGATACCAGGCAAACAGAAATAGCAAAAAGCCGCTCGTTTTTTTCAAATTTCTTTTAATTTTATTTTTACGTTTTTTTCATATTTTCTTTGGCCGCTCAAAGGGAGAAAAACGTTAATTTCAAATCTGGAATACCAGGCAAACAGAAATAGCAAAAAGCCGCTCGTTTTTTTTTAATTTCTTTTAATTTTATTTTTACGTTTTTTTCATATTTTCTTTGGCCGCTCAAAGGGAGAAAAACGTTAATTTCAAATCTGGAATACCAGGCAAACAGAAATAGCAAAAAGCCGCTCGTTTTTTTCAAATTTCTTTTAATTTTATTTTTACGTTTTTTTCATATTTTCTTTGGCCGCTCAAAGGGAGAAAAACGTTAATTTCAAATCTGGGATACCAGGCAAACAGAAATAGCAAACAGCCGCTGCTTTTTTTTAATTCCTTTTACTTTTATTTTTACGTTTTTTCATATTTTCTTTGGCCGCTCAAAGGGAGAAAAACGTTAATTTCAAATCTGGGATACCAGGCAAACAGAAATAGCAAAAAGCCGCTCGTTTTTTTCAAATTTCTTTTAATTTTATTTTTACGTTTTTTTCATATTTTCTTTGGCCGCTCAAAGGGAGAAAAACGTTAATTTCAAATCTGGGATACCAGGCAAACAGAAATAGCAAAAAGCCGCTGCCTTTTTTTAATTCCTTTTAATTTTATTTTTACGTTTTTTCATATTTTCTTTGGCCGCTCAAAGGGAGAAAAACGTTAATTTCAAATCTGGGATACCAGGCAAACAGAAATAGCAAAAAGCCGCTCGTTTTTTTCAAATTTCTTTTAATTTTATTTTTACGTTTTTTTCATATTTTCTTTGGCCGCTCAAAGGGAGAAGAACGTTAATTTCAAATCTGGGATACCAGGCAAACAGAAATAGCAAAAAGCCGCAGGTTTTTTTTTAATTCCTTTTAATTTTATTTTTACGTTTTTTCATATTTTCTTTGGCCGCTCAAAGGGAGAAAAACGTTAATTTCAAATCTGGAATACCAGGCAAACAGAAATAGCAAAAAGCCGCTCGTTTTTTTTAATTTCTTTTAATTTTATTTTTACGTTTTTTTCATATTTTCTTTGGCCGCTCAAAGGGAGAAAAACGTTAATTTCAAATCTGGGATACCAGGCAAACAGAAATAGCAAACAGCCGCTGCTTTTTTTTTAATTTCTTTTAATTTTATTTTTACGTTTTTTTCATATTTTCTTTGGCCGCTCAAAGGGAGAAAAACGTTAATTTCAAATCTGGGATACCAGGCAAACAGAAATAGCAAAACGCCGATCGTTTTTTTTTTTAATTTCTTTTAATTTTATTTTTACGTTTTTTTCATATATTCTTTGGCCGCTCAAAGGGAGAAAAACGTTAATTTCAAATCTGGGATACCAGGCAAACAGAAATAGCAAAAAGCCGCTGCCTTTTTTTAATTCCTTTTAATTTTATTTTTACGTTTTTTCATATTTTCTTTGGCCGCTCAAAGGGGGAAAAACGTTAATTTCAAATCTGGGATACCAGGCAAACAGAAATAGCAAAAAGCCGCTCGTTTTTTTCAAATTTCTTTTAATTTTATTTTTACGTTTTTTTCATATTTTCTTTGGCCGCTCAAAGGGAGAAAAACGTTAATTTCAAATCTGGGATACCAGGCAAACAGAAATAGCAAAAAGCCGCTGCCTTTTTTTAATTCCTTTTAATTTTATTTTTACGTTTTTTCATATTTTCTTTGGCCGCTCAAAGGGAGAAAAACGTTAATTTCAAATCTGGGATACCAGGCAAACAGAAATAGCAAACAGCCGCTGCTTTTTTTTTAATTCCTTTTAATTTTATTTTTACGTTTTTTTCATATTTTCTTTGGCCGCTCAAAGGGAGAAAAACGTTAATTTCAAATCTGGGATACCAGGCAAACAGAAATAGCAAAACGCCGATCGTTTTTTTTTTTTTAATTTCTTTTAATTTTATTTTTACGTTTTTTTCATATTTTCTTTGGCCGCTCAAAGGGAGAAAAACGTTAATTTCAAATCTGGGATACCAGGCAAACAGAAATAGCAAAAAGCCGCTCGTTTTTTTTTTTAATTTCTTTTAATTTTATTTTTACGTTTTTTTCATATTTTCTTTGGCCGCTCAAAGGGAGAAAAACGTTAATTTCAAATCTGGGATACCAGGCAAACAGAAATAGCAAAAAGCCGCAGGTTTTTTTTAAATTCCTTTTAATTTTATTTTTACGTTTTTTTCATATTTTCTTTGGCCGCTCAAAGGGAGAAAAACGTTAATTTCAAATCTGGAATACCAGGCAAACAGAAATAGCAAAAAGCCGCTCGTTTTTTTTAATTTCTTTTAATTTTATTTTTACGTTTTTTTCATATTTTCTTTGGCCGCTCAAAGGGAGAAAAACGTTAATTTCAAATCTGGGATACCAGGCAAACAGAAATAGCAAACAGCCGCTGCTTTTTTTTTAATTCCTTTTAATTTTATTTTTACGTTTTTCATATTTTCTTTGGCCGCTCAAAGGGAGAAAAACGTTAATTTCAAATCTGGAATACCAGGCAAACAGAAATAGCAAAAAGCCGATCGTTTTTTTTTAATTTCTTTTAATTTTATTTTTACGTTTTTTCATATTTTCTTTGGCCGCTCAAAGGGAGAAAAACGTTAATTTCAAATCTGGAATACCAGGCAAACAGAAATAGCAAAAAGCCGCTCGTTTTTTTTTAATTTCTTTTAATTTTATTTTTACGTTTTTTCATATTTTCTTTGGCCGCTCAAAGGGAGAAAAACGTTAATTTCAAATCTGGGATACCAGGCAAACAGAAATAGCAAAAAGCCGCTGCCTTTTTTTAATTCCTTTTAATTTTATTTTTACGTTTTTTCATATTTTCTTTGGCCGCTCAAAGGGAGAAAAACGTTAATTTCAAATCTGGAATACCAGGCAAACAGAAATAGCAAAAAGCCGCTCGTTTTTTTTTAATTTCTTTTAATTTTATTTTTACGTTTTTTCATATTTTCTTTGGCCGCTCAAAGGGAGAAAAACGTTAATTTCAAATCTGGGATACCAGGCAAACAGAAATCAACAGAAGGTCGCTGGTTTTTTTTAATTCTTTTACAAATTTTTTTCGTTTTCATATTTTCTTTGGTCGTTGAGAGTTGTTGTTGTACAACAACAACTATTGTTGTTTTCTTCGTTACTTGAAGCCCGATCTAGTCGTCCGAAGGCTTCCTGTGATCGGAATAGCATCCTTAATCTGATGAAGTCCTTATCAAGGACCAAGGATTAAGGATATTTTCCTAGGCATATATATCTTGTTTTCTCCATTATTCGTTGCCCGATCGCGACATGCGACGGCTTTCTGTAATCAAAAAAATGTCCTTGATCCTTCGCTAACAGCACCTGCCATACACATATAGTTTTTCCGGCTATTAGTGGGCCGATCTAGCCGTGCGACGGCTTCCTGCGGTCGAAAAAATCTCCTTGATTTAATGAAGTCCTTATCAAGGATCAAGGACATTTTTCCCAATCAAAAAGATTGAGTTTTCTGCGCTATTTGTGATCCGATCTGGGCGTGCCACACCTTTTGTAATCTGGATAGTTGTTCCGATACAGGATACAGCAAGGATGATTTTTTAATAGTTTTATTCGTCATTACTTAGCTTAGTATAAATAAATAAACAAGTGGGAAACATTTGTATCTACTATCTAAATACATACATATATGGACGCGTATATCCCTAAACTTAACAACAACGAAATCTATCTAGAGTCTAGTAGCCCGCGTAGCTCCTCTCTTGATTGTCATAGTCAAAGTACTTGTTGTCGATGGCCAGGTCGAAGGATGACGATGACTTGTTAGGTTGGGATCTTGCAAAGGGTTCGCTTCTGTCCTGCTGTCTGATAGGACTGTGGTGGTACGACTCGGCTCGAGGCAAATCCAAGGGTACATTAGTCCTCTGTGAAGGAAGATACATCTTAAGATATGTCCATATTTATATACTGATTTACTTACGCGTCTCTAAGCCCAGCGTTTGATTCGATGGCGTGTGAATGGGGGGTTGCTCACAATATTTTCAGTGCGCGTGAGCCGTTGATCACTTGTCCATGCTGCAACGGACGGGACACCACGTTGTCGACTTAGCGGCACAGCAGTGGCATCATGGCTATGGCCAGTAGCATGTCAGTAGCAGCCAGTGGTTTCGTCAGTTGAGCCAAGAAGACATCCCTTGAACCTCCCGAGAGGATGGGGAGGAGGTGACGTCGGAGAGCGGACTGGAAAGGCGGAGAAAGCAGCGTGGGACGTAAGGCAGATTGCCATGGCAGTGCCTGGACCCAAAGGTCGCCCAGGCACAGCTTCACGCGATTGGAATCAGGGGCGCACGGGGTTATGTTGACAGGCACCCCTCGTGGCATCGTGAACCCGTGCGCAGGAGCCGAGAGTTCGCGTTGTCAACCGGTCAGGTTCCTGGAGTAAAAAGCCGTCAGAAGGATGGGTCACCCTCCTTGTAAGCGATGGTGGTTAACCTGCTGAGATGAGAGGAAGAGTTAAATAAAGTAAATGAATAAATAATAACTTAATAACTTTACCTGCTAAGAGAAGGAGATCGAGGCATATCAGCTTATGGCCATAGAGGGTCTCGGCGAATACAGCTGGAATGAAAAAAGGAGAGCCAAGTAAAAACTGTCAATGGAAAAGATGAATAGAGGGGAAAACAAGGAATCGATTTCGGTAATGTATGCACCTGCGAAGCACTTACGTCGTACGTCGTAGAGTGTGCAGGTAGCTAAATAACATATATGTATGTACCATCTGCTGGCGCGATGCACGCGATCGTGGATGCAATATCGATCTGGCAACACATCGCCTGAGGGAGCCCTGTAAAAAAAGAATGCGCGCGCGCCAACTGAGTTCACATGGGAAAATCACCAGAGCGGTGTAGGACACGGAAAAGTTAAAGTTATCCGGGGAAATATATCACGAAATATTCTCTCAGAAGGAAAAAACAATGGCTTATAATGACGCGTCGTTAGGCGGACACCAGAGCCGAAGACCCTGGGATCTAATACATAATGTTCGTTTGCGACATATTCGCAGTAAATCCTGGAACCTTGCATAATTCTTGAACCAGAACCACATCAAGAAATAAGAGAGCAATAAAAGAGCAATAACCTTGTCCAAAAGTAGCGTCACAAAATTTTGCCAAAGTAAAAGTACTTGAGCACATAATTTAAAATGCGCGCCCGTCAAAACTGTCATTTTACAGCACTGAGTTTCGCATCAGCTGTGTCAATAATTCCCATACCAAAAACGACTACAAAAAACGAACTTTCTTTTGGGGCTAACAAATAAAACTTGTTGAGCGTAGCGGTAGAATCGACCAACTTGTCGTTCCCGCTCTGTCGCACGTGTTTGTTGTTATTCTAATTATACATATCCACATGCAGAAGAACACGCAAGCGTACGCATTAAAAAAACTCTACACGTCACCAAAGTTTCTCCCCCACAGGTGTGTGGTGCTGCCAGCCAAAGCGTAAGTGGATCAAATAATCAAATAATCGCGTGCTTAATAGTTCGATATTACAGAAAATGCGTCAATTGAAAGGCAAGGTCAAGGAGACGCGCAAGCAGAAGAAGGAGCGTAAACTAGATAATGTGGAAATTCAAGGAAAAATTCGTACAATTGTTTTGCCGGCCATGGGCGTCTTAGCGTTATTTGTAGTGCTGTTCGTCTACCTTAAGACGCGGCCTGCAGTGACTGCCTAGTGGACACACAAACTGCAGCGATGAACATGCATCCCGTCCGATGACCGTCTATAGGCTTAAGTTAGTGTATTTTCTGAATTTAAATGTTACCTGTGCAGTGTGCAATTCATGTCTAACGTCGTTTACTGTACAAATTAATATGTATGCATAGTAAAAGTAAAAGAATACCATTCCACTCTCTGCGGAGTGTGATTCTAAGGTATCCAGAAACGGATTTTGATTTAATTTAAATTTTCTTTAATTTCTGTAAAAACTTCTGGCAGTAGTGCTGCGAAACGTTTTATCATGGCAGGGCTGCACTAAAAACGGTGAAGAAAATTTGGCGCAAGAAACGAAATATTTGAAAATTTCCCGAAAAAAGACTGAGGCTTTAATTTTAATTTAGAAAGCTGGAAATATGCAAATTAATTATGGCTTTTAGCTGTCCAGACAGAGATAAATTTACCACACTGAACCTGACAGCCACGAACAAGTTTTATTTTTGGCTGTTTGTGTTTTCCTTGTGTCTATATCATTTTCTCCCAGTCCACCACTCTTGATAGTAGCGCTTGTCGCTTGCATTTGAATAGCCCCTTAGAGGCAAATTATTTATTAAATCGGCTATCAAGTGCAACTTAAATCACACTATTTCGTAGAGTAATTGTACAACCAGAGAGCAGAGCACGCCAGCAGCACTAACTGAGATTATCTAATCTCTGTAAAAAGTTAAAAGTGAAATCAGCTGTTCGCGCACACATACACACGCAAATCTGCGTTTGACATTTCTTACACACACACTCTCCCTTACACATATTAAACTGGCGGCGGGTGAAGGCAAAAGTGGCTTCAATTATTCGACAATGCTTAAGTTTTTGGTAAGTTGCATTTTCTAATATTATAGCACAGTGTTTGTGCAGAGAAAAGCCCATTTATGTGTGCATAAATACAAAGCATCAGGTTTATGGATATATCATCAATTTGTGGTTCATCTTTTTGCGGCGGTGACGTTGTTGCCGCGGTACCTCGTCATCATCAAAACAACCTTTTGGCCAACAAAAACATACAAATTTGGATATTAGACAAGCGCTTTCAAGGTTATATAATAGGCGACAACGAACCCAATCCCCAAATGAAATCACAGTAATCTCTTGGAAAAATGTCAACTGGTAAAGCTTCAAAAAGTTATCTACTTTGGTCAAATCAATAAAAATTAATAGTTTTACATAAATTTCACAAAAATGAAGTTGCTTGGAGTCGGTCTGCAACTGATGAAAGCCAGATGTGGAGCGGGCAACGGCCGCCCCTCCTACAGCTGCTGCCCTGAGATGCAAGACACGATTCCCTACTGCCCAAAAAAGCCATTTTGGAACTTCAAACGAACACTGTACTTCTCTCTGGTCAGCCAGAAGTGGGACCAACCAACCAATGCAACAAATTTTAACAGTTTTCTTTTTGTCCGTCTTCCCTTGCAGCTGACATTTGGAGCCGGAATTTACACGGGCATCTACATATCTCAAAACTATGAGGTACGCCTTCCACCCCTACACTTAAATTGTCTCTACTGAAAATAATAAAACTATGTATGGGTGGGTATCTGTTTCCAGGTGCCCCGTGTCGATGACCCCCAAAAGCTGGTCCAGCGAATGAACGAAAAGATACGAGAGCTAATTGACGACAACAAGAAAAAGTAATTCCAGATTAGATATAATCTTACGGCCTTTGTCGTTCACTACCACCAGTCACACTACAAAAATTCATTGTTAGAATAAAACATTAGACCGACCTTTGGTTGTGGTTATTAATTATCATTTGGTGAGGGAGAACAAACGATCAACAGATCATAGGGGACTCATTTATCCAATAAATTAGGTTAAATATAAGTTAAATTAAAGTGCGCCTGAACGCATTCTAATTTCATTTCACTCTCCACAGGTCGGCCGCTGAACAGATCGTTCATGACATCAAAAAGGAGGCCAAGAAGATCTTGGATGATTGAAAAATGCCATGTTAGGGTTTTAATTTAAACAAATGTATCTACTATGATCAAATAAAGTGACGTTCAATGTACATATTCGCCACCAATTATTACAAACTAGACAAATGATATTCCTCCTCCATAATATTCCAAGCGAGTTTGGGGCTGGACAAAGGCCAGCCAGTCAGAGGCGTGTGTGGGTAACAGGCCCATGCTATGGCATTTGTAAAGGGCCAGCGCTACGTTGGCCAGGTTTCCCAGAAAGTAGACAATGCGCTGACCAGTTCCCTGGGCGCCTTCGGCCATTTTCGAGGTAACTTGGGTTGTGAACATTGCCTTGATTGGCCGCACCAGCATCATGCCGACCATCATAATTGGGAAAATCGATATAGAATTACCGGACATGTACATGATGAACAGGTTCATGGGTATCTGCAATGAATCCAAAGGTTATTACGTCCAGCATGGAGCCTGCATGGTCGACTATACACTTACATTCTTCAGCGGTCCTAGAGCCAGATCCCATGATTTCTTTATAACCAAACGCTGATCGCGTACGACTTCGGTTTGATTTACCACTGCACTTGGATTGTAGCCCAGCGGAGATGGAATTTCCGAATTTTTGCTGCTCGGGAAAAACGAAATGGGGTGTGAAAATATCTCTTGTGCCGCACATACACATATCAAATACTCAATTCAAAATTGCATTTACCTTCCATTAAAGTCCAACGCCCACTTGAATTTCTTTGAATTTTGCTTTGCAGACATGCTGAGTTTTCTTTTTATTTAATAATTGAAACAATCTCACAATTCGGGGTGAATTTTTCATGCATTTACACAAATTGGGGTAGCTAGTGTGGGAAAACGCCAAACGTCAAAATAAACAGTGTTGCAAAACTTCAAGCGCTTGAAAATATCGTTATCGATAGACCACAACAAAAGAAAACGGGTATTGTCGAAAAAAAATTATTATTTATTTCGTATTATAAAAATGTCCAGCCGGTTTTATTTATTTAAATTTTATTTAGAATTACCTTTTAAATAGTACGTTTTCCGTTTTAATATGGTTTTATGTATATGCGTGTGTTTGTTTTATGGGTTTTCTTTTTTTGTTTTTTGCCAAGCGACGACACGAAACGAAAGTGTTAAAAATTAAAATGGTTTTTGTTGTTTATTACTTCTCATTAATATTACTTTTATATTTATAAAATTAAAAAGAAATATATATTGATGAGGGGGGGAGAGGGAGAGAGGACAAAAATAACTTAAAAAAGACATTTTTACCATATACTTTAGTGTTGTTTCCTTTTTTCTTTTGCGATTGGTTGGGGTTCTCTTTTAATCGTTTCGTTTTTAAACATCCAATAATTATGTATATAAATTTAAATTAAATTATAGCGTTCTTTTATATGCTGATGCTGCTTGAAAAGATCTGTTCTTGCAATTTCAATTTCTCGTGTTCTCAACGGACAGGAAGGAGGAGCCTTTTAAGTTATGCGAAGATCTCTACTCTTGTTGTTTATGTTGCTGTTGCTGCTGTAGTTGTTGTTGCTGCTGTTGTTGTTGTTGCTGCTGTTGTTGTTGTTGCTGCTGTTGTTGTTGTTGCTGTTGTTGTTGTTCCTTCTTGATGAGGATAGGATTTCCGCCGTTTTCCTGTGTCTGTTTTGTCTGTCTGTTGGTGTTTCTGATGGTTGTTTTCTGCTTCTGTTTTTGCTTTGCTTGAAATCAAAGTTAGTGTGTATTTATGTTGTTGCTGTTGTTGTTTTTTGTTGTTGTGGTTGTAGTTTTAGTGTATGTTTAATTAGCGATTAGCATTCTTCAGCTGATTGGACAACCAGTCGAGTCCCTCGTAGAGTCCATCGCCGCTAGTTGCACACGTCGCTTGAATGTACCAGTTGCGGTTTCTGAGTGAGTGCAAACCGAGCTTGTCGGTAATTTCAGCCGCATTCATTGCATTTGGCAGATCCTACAACGATTCAATAAAAAAAATGGGATTATGTGAGGTTTATTTGGGATAGTTGCAACAAATATTCTGTGTGGTGACAATAATTGGCATATCAGTCCCGTCTTGAAACAAAATAAACTTTGAATAATCATAGTATCAATCATAACAAGTTATTAACATCATCTAGGAGGGGGTCGCTGGCGGTGCCACATAATCAACAAAGGTGCACGGTCTGTTGCTGCCATCGGCTGGCATACACACATATGTTTGCAACAACTGCCGGCTCTTATCAACGTATGTATGTATGCATACATTTTCTGTTTCACACATATTCGTTAATGGAGTTTGTCACCGCTTTGGTGTGTTATGTGGCAACCGATTCGGTTCGTCTCGCAATTCGCATGCTTACCTGTTTGTTGGCGAATATTAGTAAGACTGCATCTCGAAGCTCGTCCTCCGCCAGCATGCGCATCAATTCCTCTCTCGCCTCACCGATACGCTCTCGGTCATTGCTGTCAACGACGAAGATAAGACCCTGTTGTAACAAGAAAAAACAAAAATGTATTCCAATTAGTGAATCCATGGAGAATTGAAGCAATGATGCATCTGTTTTAGGGGTGTGGGGGGTACATATCAGTCCCGTCTTGAAACAAAATAAACTTTGAATAATCATAGTATTAATCATAACAAGTTGTTAACATCATCTAGAAGGAAGGGGCGGGAGGTCTCTGGATGCGATAGGTGCCAAGATCCAGTCACTTACTTGTGTATTCTGGAAGTAATGCCTCCACAATGGACGAATTTTGTCTTGGCCGCCCACATCCCACACTGTAAAGCTAATATTCTTGTATTCTACAGTCTCCACATTGAAACCTAGTCGGAACCGAGTCGAGAGAGTGAAAGAGAGAGAAAACACACATGAGAATGAGTACCGAGGAGAAAAGTAGCTACAATTGCTAGCTAGCTAGCTGCTAGTCCACTTACCAATGGTAGGTATCGTTGTAACAATTTCGCCTAATTTGAGTTTGTACAGAATTGTGGTTTTACCAGCGGCATCCAAACCGACCATCAATATCCTCATTTCCTTTTTGCCAAAGAGGCCTTTAAACAGATTGGCGAATACGTTTCCCATAGTTGCTTGCTTTTATTTCGATTCTTTTGATTGGAGAAGTAGGAAATCGGTTATGCTGCTGCTGCTGCTGCTGGTGGCCTTCTTGCTTGGCTGGAATTATTACAAGTTCAAATCCGAGTTGCAAATGCTGTTGATAATATGCAAACTCTGGACTTGTGTGCTTGGACTTGGAGAATCTGCAAATAAACCAAACAAAATCGATATTAAATTTAACCAATAATGCCGGCATATGTTACAGGACTGAACTTCACTTATCGGTGTGGCAACTGGAACTGATTCGAGTGACAAATAAAACAAAAGATGCTATGATGTGATGATATGTTAGGCCCTTCCCACTGAATTGTTCGAGCCGTCTGAGATTGGGCCCCGAGGCAGAGACTCTTTTGTTTGGCTTAATCGTTACCCCCAAAGCTGACGTGTTGATTGCTTCCACAACTGAGTCACAACAATTCGCTTATGAAATTTAGCAACAATCCCATGGAACTGTTCGGACATGAGCTTTGCTTTGAAAAACAACGCAAATTAAACGCAACTTAAAAAAAAAAGCTCGGCCGTTTGGGAAATATAGTATAGTATTTTTTGCCCATAATATCAATGTGTTGCCCGCTTTGCTGGCTGCGAATGTCGATGTCGGCGGCCGCCGCCGCTGATAAGATATTGATTTTTGTTGTTGGGAGACGATGACGAGTCGGAGGCACTGCAGGAGGGTCGCCTTTTCTCCACCCCGTCTCATTCACGAAACGTGTATAAGCTGGAATGCGCGTAAAATGATAAAGCCAGGGGCGAGAGGCTAGATGGAAATTCGCAATCTCGGAGAGTGTAAGTTCTAAATCTGCGGTGAGTCACCCGGCGACCAGCTACAGAGTCCAAGTGGCTCCGAGTGGATTTGTGTGTGCGTTACATTTGTACAACCAGCACTCTCTCCTGCTCCAACGTGCAATTCAATTAAAGTTTTAATTAAAGAACCGAAGACGATGTCCCCTGCTCTTCGTCGCACTCCCCTCGCGCACGAACAGCAAAGCGTTGCCAACGAAACATAATGCGCAAATAAAAAAGAAACATCACGCAAATTTTGAGATACACTCAAATTTAGTGATAATTACCAAAGTTTTGTGTTTATGTTGCTTCGGATCAACTAATCAAAATGGAGAAATGAACAGTAGAAATTGTATGCCGGAAAAGAAAACGAAAACTACACGTAGCAACTTTTATTTGCCAAGCGACGACGACTACGACGACGACAAGAAGCGACGGCAGCTACACCAACACCCTGCACACGCACACACTCACACACCCATGAGCCACACTCTAGGGTTGCCTATTACGTTGTCGAGTCGGACCGGACGCCCTGTGCCAATTGAATTGAAATCCCTATTGTATCCTCACATACGGCGGATTTCAGGATAGCATCACCAGTATATGTACATATTTAGATTTTCTTGTCGGTAAATTTCAAATTGGATGCAGAGAGAGCCATTGCTCTGAAATTTATACGTGGTTAGTGTGCGTCTGTGTGAGTGACGTATGCTTTTTTTTCTCCCTTTGAGGTTGGTGAAATGCGACGGCGGCAAGACCTTGTTTTTTTAAATACAGTGCAATATTCTGTCTATTCTGCACTAGTGTCAATGAATCCAGGTGGGGATTTTTTAACTGCACATTACACGTTTTATTTACCGATTTATTTGAGCTTCTTTTGTGGATTTTCCTTTTATTAAATTTTCTCTGCTGCCAAACACACCACACACCGAATTGTGAAGAGAAATATGATGGAAAAAATATCGATATGAGGAATGTGTGATGGACGATAAGTATTACTAGTTCTTTTATCAAGGGGCCAAAGTCGAAAAAACTTTGAAATTATATAATACATTGACCAAATGTTCGATATGACGTAAACAAGTAAAAAAAAATAAACAAAAAACCATTTAGAAACTTTGATAATTTGTAGTGCGCAAGTTAATAAACAATTTTTAGACGATACATTTTCGGCGATTTCCGATAATATTTATCACCAAAACTCCCCACAGCGGTGTACGTTCTAAGTTTGTGTGTGGGTATGTTTGTGTGTGTGTGTGTGTGTGTAGAAATGGCTTACACTAATACGAACACACGAACACTGTCCACACTTTAGACCAAGGAAATAAATCCATTTTTCTCATACACTACCCCTGATTTTGACTAAAGTCAAATACGCACCAACTAATTGAATCAAATGCACACAAATTTGAGCGGAAATTTTAGAAATTTCTGCTTGGAAATGTCAAAAATCACAGAGCAAAAAAAACTTGACCGAGAATACACTTGCCGTTGAAAAAACTGCAAACTCACCAACATAAACGTTGCGGCATGGCTTGTGTTAGAGTGAGACGACAATGTTACGGATGGTATATGCTTTGAAATGCTGCCACGTCTCTTCTTCAATAAATATCGAAATTTATACGCACGCAAATGATAGATATTGAAATGAAACATAAACCTACATAAATATGTATGTTTACTTTATTACAGTCGGCGTTAGAAAGTCCTGTTTTTGTTAGTTCACAGTTGGTTGAGGCGAAGTATTTAAATAACTTGGCGCTCCATGTTCTACCCAAAAACTCCGTTTCTGAGCAACAGTTTGCTGGAAGCCGAAATTCTTAAAGTCAATGTGAGAATGTTGTTTCTACGGCTTGCACCATGTGCACAAAAACGATAAGGCAACACTGGTTTTCAAATATTAAAACTGTTGATCTCATATAATGTTTTTATTCAGTCGGCGGCTGTGTCGCAACTTTTGGAATGGCTCTGTCGGACTCCACGTGTCACCACCTACAGGGTGAACAGACTGCGCACCAATGTAGAGACGCACAAGGCGCAATTGGAGGAGCATCTCGCAAGGAGATATCCATGTGGCCAGCAGGCCCCGAGGATTTATGGCCTGGCGGATCTGCCCGAAGTACTGTGCATAGCTCCCCTTGAGGCGGAACTGGCGTTGTCCGTACCCGATCCTACGCTCAAAGAAGTCATTGTGGACACCAGCTGCGGAGCTGCTCTGCTGCGGGGAGCTCACATTTATGCCCCTGGCGTTCTGGCCATGGAGTCGAACACACAGCTGCAGGAATGCGTCAATGTCTATGCTGACTTGGCCGGCAAATGCAAGCGAGGGATGACCACGCGTTACGAGAACTCGGAAAAGGTCTATGTGGGCGTGGGCAAGGTGCTAATGCAACGCTATCAACTGTACAATGACAAGAATGAAGCTCCCACAGGGATCGCCGTTGAAATGCAATCGAATGTCAGTGGAGTGCCCTCGCTTGGGGACCTCAGCAGCGCAGACGCCCTGCTGCAAAATCTGCCCTCTATTGTATGCGTGCGTGTCCTGGACCCACAGCCTGGTGAACGCATCCTGGACATGTGCGCTGCTCCGGGCAACAAAACCACTCACATAGCAGAGCTAATGGGCGATCAGGGGTGCGTCGTGGCGTTGGATAACTCCGCGAGTCGTGTGCGCGGCATGCTGGGGAAACTGGGGAACAACTATCGGAGCATACAGGCGCACGTCTTTGACTCCACAAAAGCAGTGGCCGCGTCGAGCGATTCGTCGTGCCCAGCCGCTCCACCCTTTCCATGTGCCAGCTTCGATCGCATTCTTCTGGATGCCCCATGCAGTGGTCTGGGCAACCGTCCGCAGCTATTGTGCAACATTAAGCAGGCCAAGATCTTGAAATCCTATCCAAACATCCAGCGTCGTCTTCTGGCACAGGCTGTCCAACTTTTGCGCCCTGGCGGCATCCTCGTCTACAGCACTTGCACAGTCACCGAGGCCGAGTGCGAGAGCATTGTGGCCTGGGCGCTGAGAAAGTATCCCGAACTACGTCTGCTGGATGCCACACCTCGGTACGGGGGTCCCGGCCTGCCACTCCCGGATCTGGAGACCGCTCAATCGAAGCTGCTGCAGCGCTTTGGTCCCGGCAACGATTTGGACACTGTGGGTTTCTTTATTGCTAAATTTCAAAAAGATTAAACGATTATTCAAGTTATCTCGGGTTTTATTTAATTGAATTGCAGTTCTTTACATATTTTTGCTTGCATTTGTTTCGAGGCGAGGTTCCTTTTCGGGGAACATTGGCCGATGGCCGATAGCCGGTAGCCGAGAGATTTCTTTCACTTAGCTCCCTGCAGAATGGACACAAATTTCATAATAAATGAAAAAAACCACACACAATGATATCTTTTTAGAGTTCTAAATATTAAAATTACTTGTAGAAGTTACAATTCACATCTATCGTAATGTTAATTATAGTCTAGATATTATTTTAGCATTTCTTAAGACGAGTATTTGCTGTTTAAATGCAAACGATGCATTTTTCATCTCTCTCTCCATCTCTATCTCTATCTCTCTCTTTCTTTTCCTTTCTATCCCTCTCCCTCTATCTCTCTCTCTCTCTCTTCTCTCTTTCTGTCGCCGATTACACATTTATATATATTTATATATACGTACTTAACTCAATTAATTAATAACTAAATAATTAGTGTGTGTGTTGTATGGGTTATGGTAAAGAAAATGCCGTGTCCTAGGCCTAGCTCTGGGTCTGGTTCTGTTTCTGGTTCTGATTCTGGTTCAATAACATAAAATAATTCCTCTTCGCTTGGATCCCTTCTTTTCGCTTACTTAATAAGTCGCCCCGCAATTGAATGATCAACTATTATCTAGCTGCATGTGATTTGTTTTTTTTTTTTTTATTATTTTTGCCGTTCATCTTAGCTTCTGACTTAATTATTCTTTTGGCTAATCCCCAAATGGTTTCTCCTCCACTCCACTAAAAACTGTCGGGAAAACAATCAGATTAGTGAAGACGAAAAAAACTTGCAAAAAAAAAAAAAAATTATATATATATATAAGAATAAGGGAAAAACCAAAGTGTACTTTAGTCAGATGGAAATGGATGTCCCCAAAATGTATTCTCGGGAATGTCCTATCCTAAACGAAGCCGCGCAGGTTTAATGGCGGCCAGTGCTCTCATTCTATATATATATGTAGTATGTATATCTGGCTTAGGGGCTACGCCTAGTGCTAGGTTAAGAGACTATTAACATGTTTTTACGTCGGGATGTTGAGGGTCTTGAATTGCTCCTCGTTCATCTCAGTCATCATAAAAGTGCCATCCTGTATCATCAAAACGACGCGACGAGTGCCCCCTGAGAAAAAGTGCAAAGAAAGGAGAGAAAGGGGAGATTAATGCACAGAAGATGGAAGATTATTGGTTTTTGTATTACCTGGTGAGGGCAGATCCGCTCGCACCACCTCGGCCGGGATTTGGGACTCGGTGCCATCGCTGTCAGAGGTCGTGATGTGAATTTGTGCAGTGACCGGTGTTCCCGTGCCGGTGCCAGAACTCTCCTGCTGCAGTGCGGCTGCCTGATGCTGGGCCAGCTCCTCCTCGGTCATGGAGACGAGAATTTGCTCGCCATCGGATGTTGCTGCTGCAGCGGATTGTTCCCCAGCTTGGACAGCCTCAGCCACGGCATGGTCTAGCGAAAGGACATCCTGATCGTCGCCTTCAGCGGCGGCCACATACGCGAACTGTTGCTCGCCATCCGGTCCCTGGGTAACCAGTATGGTCTGGCCCTCGGCATTCTTGCCAGCCACCTGGTAGACGGTGCCATCTTCACCTCTTACCAGAAGAGCAGAGCCGTCTTCGTTGGTCAGCACCTGCTGATCGCTGCCCAAAAGCGCATGCGCTGCCTCCAGCTGTTCGCGCTGTTCCTCCTGCATTTGCTCATGCTCGACCTGCAGCTGCGACTCTTCCCCCCCAATCAGCTTGCCAGTGATTGGGCACAGCTGGACCTGTTGCTGGTGCAGATCCTCCTCCAGCTCCAACTGGAGCGGTGTGGGCTGTGGCGTTGGCTTGGGCGCTATTCTTTGCCTTTGCCCTGGTGCCAGCACCTTTTGTAGCTGAGATTGGGATTGCTGCTGGCGTTGCTGGCGAGCCTGGGCCTGGCGTTGGGCTAATATTTCCTCCCTGGTCACCACCTTGCGAGTTACCTTCAAGTCCCCAGACTTGGACAGCTGCAGGATCTTCTGCTCTGGCGTCACCACTTTGGTGCCGGCTCCTGGCGACGCTTGATGCCGTTGCTGGGGCGTACCGGGACCAGCGCGTGCCAGGGGCCGGCCGCCAGGATGTGCCCTCGTCGGTGGCTGCTGTGCGCGAGCCTGCGGCGTGCCTGCCAAAGGACGACGTTGCACCGACGATGATATCGGACCGCCCTGACCAGGGGGACGTATCACCTGCTGACGCTGGCTTACAGTCACAGGCGAACTGGAATTGGAGTGTGAAGGGCGGGCTACGCTCAAACGTTTGGCTATGCCCCCTCCTCCCACTGTCGTGGCTGAGGCGCTACTGGTGCTGGTCTTTTGAGCGGCAACGGCGGCTGCCACTGCTGTGACGGGGGCTGTCGGCTCCGAGTGCTCAACGCGGAAGACCCCTGTATTATTGCTGGCTATCTCCGAGCGGGACAGATAGCGTACAGGACACTCGACTTTATTATTTTTCTGAAACGGATTTCAAGATGAATTATCGTTTTTTACAGATGATCTCATCATTTATTTACCAAAAGCAGGGTGTTTGGCATTTCCGGTTTACGAAACATTCCAGAGCTGGTGGTGTCGTCCGTGTAGATGATCTCTCCCATTTTGATACTGTCCGCTCCGGAGGCAGCAGAGTTTCCATTAATTCTGGACGCAGCCTGTCTATCAGCCGAATGGACACGCGACTTGCTTTGCTGCACGGAGCTACCGCCGTTTTTTAAACGCTTCACAGTGTGTGTGGGCAGATCCTCCTCGAGATCCTCCAGTTCCACCGAGTCATTCGCTGCGGTCTCCTCAATACTGGAATCAGTTTGATTGAGCTTGCGTTTGGTGGGACCCGACGTGGCGGCGGCCCATTCCTGCTCGTTGGCGGATTCATCGTCGTTGCCCGAGGAGGGCGATGAAGAACCGTCGCCAACAGCAGTATCGGTTACCCATTGCTTGAACGCATCCATGGCTTTGGTTTTCGAAGTGCGCGATGGCCGAGAGCTCGGCGATACTTGTGCTTGAGGCGTGGCTGGACTGAGTGGAGCTGGAGAATCGGTTTTCGATGAGGGCACTGGATGCTGCAGACGCTTCAAGGCATCCAGTCCCTTCTCTCTGGTCAGTTTCTGACGCGCCAGCTGCTTCTCAAACATTTGTAGGAAAAAGGGCACACTCTCGAGATTGGCCATCACCTCCCAGGTGTTGCCATTGTGCGAACGATCCACCCATTTAACCAAATACTCGTGTGTCTTGCGTCTCGGATTGAAGCGTTTAGCGACAATCTTTTCCACAGCCTCTTCAGTACGCTGTTCGGTCTTGGAATCACAACGGGTGGCTATTCGATTGTTCGGTTTGACAGCACCACCACTCGAGGCAGTGGATGTTGTTGTTGGTGGCAGCGTTGGGGTTCCTGGCTTGGATACGGGCCGTTCGTTCTCAATGTCTTTCAGTTGGTTGGACAAGGCTGGCAGCTTATTAGCAGTCGATTCTGAAAATAAGTACAGTTTTTAGACGATCTCGATTCTAGTCACACATTGAAAGAATGTTGCTGGGTATCAGCATTGAATCAACCACGAGACTAAGCTTGAATATGCTTTATTTTTGTATACGGATACGGACACTGATTTAATAGTAATTCCGTTTCTATAAAATTTATACTTACTTCTGGTTGGGGATGCGCTTGCGTTGTTATTGCTGTTCGAAGTGTTATTATTGTTGTTGGGATTCACAACCGTTTTGGTGATGCGCACTGGCATATCCTGCAGCTGTCCATGTGCAATCTTGCCAAAAGACTGTATTGTCTTGCCAGCCACAATCCATGGCTCCCTCACGCTCTCCTCGAGCCTCACCCAATGCTGGTACATGGCCCATGAATTGCTAGCACTCGATTCCTTGCGCGCATGCAACTGTGTGGCCTTCCACAGCGAAAATGCCCAGATTGAAGGCTTGGTGTCCAGCGAGTCCTTAAGGTTTGCATTCTCCTTCTCGCAGGCATCTTCCTTGTGCGACTGAAACTCCTCGACAAAGTTGTAGGCCTTCAGGCACCGTCCACATACGAGAACATCCATATTTGCCAGATCCTCCTGGGCAGCTGAGAAGTGAAAACAAAACGAGTTACTTAAATTGCTTGCTATTTTTCTGCCATTTTTTTTTCTTTCACTCACCTCCGATAATGTTTGCGTACTTTCCAATTTCCGTCGGAGCTATCTCCTGTGCCAACATTATAGACAACACCAAAGCCTACGGTTCTGTCGAATTCATTTAAATAATCAAAATAAAAGAGCAAATTTATTTAGTTGTTGTTTGCTTGCTTTTAAAAACGGAACAGCTAACAGGGGGAAGAAAAAGTACAGTGCTGTGGTGTGTTTTCGTTTGCATGGGTGGCAACCCCGAATGTCTTCGGTGTGTGCCCAGAATGGTGGGTTTCTCTAATGCAGCGGCGCGGCGCGGTGCGGCGCCTTGGTTACAGCGAGCCAAAATACACAAAAAATGCAATACAATGCAGCGAACCGGGCACACAGCAAACAGAAAAAAAGAAACACACTGGGGAACGAGGGTAGACCAGATTGGGCATATCAAATTGTTTATATTAAAAAAAAATCATTTATGCCATTTTAAATTGCTCCGTTTTTACAACCTATTTAACATATTTAATAGTAGTTGACTGCAACCGCTACCAGGAAAAGATTACAATTGGCTATTTGTTTCATTCAGTTCATTTAATTTTCACTTTTTGATATGTATACTGATTCCCGCTCAAATTGCTCGCCAGCAGTAATGCTTGCCATTTCACAAATTTTTGCGTCAAATCAATAATAATGGACCCACTTTTACACTGCATTATTTACACACCTTCATAAACCAAATCGATCTGGAAACTAAAGTTTATATTGTTTTTTGAATGTTAATATAACTCTAACTGTTTTCTCCAAATTTCAACACGCGCAGCGCTGTTCTGCTTTCAACTGCCCGCGCGAAACTCTGAATGCCAAAAGCAAAACGGTGTCTATTTGCCTGAAACGCAGACCAGCGGTGGTTAGACTGCGGCTAGGGTGACTTTTGTATGAGCTCTTTTTTGGATATATGCCGAATAACCTATATATTAATTATGTCTGGGATTGTCGAATATATTAAATGTATTAATTTTAACACATTTTTTGCTCAACTGCCACGAAACTTCTACACGTGCTCACTTTCTTGTGTGGTTTCACAATTATACATCAGTCTCAAATGCCTAACCAAGAGTGTAGTGGACCTTCAGTTCGTACACATAAATTAGCACTTGCTAAGCCAATCGCGTGTCGTGTTGAGTTCATTTACTGATATGGTAACTTCGTGCACCCTGATGTTTTTCAAGAAATTTAAATTAAATTGTAGAAAACATTACAATTAAACCCAGTTCATATTTTTTGTATGTTGTTTATAAAATAAGAGTTATGTAAATAATTTAACAACTGATTTGGATAGGCAAAATATTTCGCCATGGCATGATTTGACAACCCTCGACGTTGTGTTTTGCCGCTGCCTTGGTGTGTACACACTTTCACAGTTGCCGGTGAATTTCGCTGATATTTGTTTTATTTAATTGTTTTCGATTTAGCTAAATAAAATATCATGGCTGATGACGACCGCGACGATCAGAAGGAGTACCGTTGGGAGACGGGATATGAGAAGACATGGTAATATTGCGTAATATATTAGAAATCATCTCAACTCAATGTGGAGCAACTTCTCAGGGAAGCCATCAAGGACGACGAGGATGGGCTGCTCGATGGGGCAATCGCGGATATTATCCAGAAGGCCAAGCGTCAGCGGCAGGCGCAAAAGACGAAACAGAATCGTCTGGGAATGATGCGACATCTATTCATCATACTCGACTGCTCCGAGTCGATGAGCGTGCCTGATCTGAAGCCCACGCGCCTACGCTGCACCATCAAGCTGCTCGAACAGTTCATCGAAGAGTTCTTTGACCAGAATCCTATTAGCCAGATGGGCATTATTGCTCTAAAGGCGAAGCGTGCTGAGAAAATAACCGAATTGACCGGCACCTCGCGTGTGCATCTCAAGGCATTGGAAGGGTAAGTGAGAGTCCTGAATGATTTCCATCGGAATAATCCATTGGTTTTCTCAGCCTAGCAAATGTGCCTTTGACCAGCGAGCCATCGCTGCAGAACGGCTTGGATTTGGCATTGAAAACCCTCAAAGTTGTTCCATCGCATGCTTCGCGGGAGATTGTCATCGTGATGGGCTCCCTCACCACCTGCGATCCCGTGGACATTAATCTAACTATCGATGAGCTGAAGAAGGAGGGTATACGCTGTTCGGTAATCTCATTGTCGGCAGAGATTCATATCGCCCGCTACCTCACCCAACAGACTAGGGGCACATTCGGCGCTGTCCTGGACGATGCTCATTTTAGAGATCAACTGATGTCCCAGGTGGATCCGCCGCCTGCGGCCAAGACTCAGCACAATTCCCTCATCCGTATGGGCTTTCCGCACACCAAGAACGAGGTGGAGGGCAAGGATGCACCGCTCTCGATGTGCATGTGCCACATAGAGAATCTGGAGGAGCCCAGCGAGCTCTGCACCACCGGACACCACTGTCCACAATGCAATAGCAAGTACTGCGAACTGCCCGTGGAGTGTCAGTCGTGTGGTCTTACGCTAGTCTCGGCTCCACATCTTGCCCGCTCGTACCATCATCTGTTCCCTGTTCCCAACTTCGAGGAAATTCCGTTCGATTCTTTGCCGAAAGCCTCCTCGGACCGTGGTGGGACCGGCACCGGGACCACGGAATGCTACGCTTGCATGAAACTCTTCGTCCCAGTCGCAGACAAGACTGTTTTCAAGTGCGGCTTCTGCAAGCAGTTCTTCTGCCTCGATTGTGATATCTTCATTCACGACACCTTGCACGCCTGTGTGGGCTGCAACACCATACCAGGCGTCGATGGCCTGGTCTATCAGCAGAGCTCCAAGTCCGTCTCGGACTCTCACCACCAGGCGCAGGCGCACGATTTGCACCCAGGAACGTCCAAGCAACGTGGACAGTTTAGCATATAACTACATATAACTACACTACCGCAAATCTGGCCATCTGCACTGTAAATAGTTACTAAAACTCCATCGTAGCATAGGGCGAATACACACCGATACAGTTCAATTCATGTTCGTGTTTTGCATCATTATAAATTTGCTGTTTTGGTATGGCTAATAATTGTGAAGGTGAACGCAGAATCTATATGGCTGTGCCCATTAACATTCATAGTTAATTTTTTGCTTGTTTGCTGGCGATTCACTGTGCCAGCCGGGCGGACTTTTGTCTAGAGCCCGCTTGAGTTCATCGCCAGCGCTCGAAGCATTCGGTTGGGTTGTGTTTTTTTTAAATTTTGTTTTCGTTTGATTCGATCCCAAAGCTTCACGGCTTCCACAGGTGTTCTCTGTGATCTGTTTGTTGTCTGACGTTGAATAAGGTACGAGTAATAATAATAACAGACGCGTTGGTGTGTGAAGAGTCAAGAGCGAGCCCTGAGCCCCTGATCCCCCGATCCCCCGATCGCCGACCCCCAGAGAGTTCCGAGTTTGTTTTGGAGTCGTAGCAGAGATAATATACGCGTACTCTATGGCCCCATAAAGAATTATGGGGCTGCTTTAAACTAGTATTTAACTGGTTTGAGCTCAGCCAAACCGCCAAACCGCCAACACCATTGATCATTTTATTACAGGTTGAATACTTCTCCGAATGAAGAGTTTTGAGTGGACTCTGGAATAAAGGTTCCAACTATAGCATTCGGCGATGGAGTTTTTTTTTAAAGTCTTAACGCTCTAAGTAATTCTGTTTAGATCCTGTAGTTCTTATGATTATTGTACATTTGTATGTACATTCGGAATATACATAGATCATGGCCCTTGGATAAATGTCGCTCATGTGTTGTGTCCTCCCCAGTTCGTTTGGTGTAATAGTCGTTCATTGAAGCTGATTTAAAACGCAAATCGCAGTTAAACGACTGGCAGACAGTCTGGTCTAGTCAGTCTAGTTAATTACTGACTATCCCAGTAGCATACCTGCATACACCACTCATTTCCACACATACGAGCATTCGCGGAATAAAGACGTTTCCGCATTGGAGCGCCAAACGAAAAAAAAATAAAAAAATAAATAAAAAAGGCGAGAAATCACAAATCGCTGGGTGATAATTGTGTGTGAAAGTGGAATGAATCAGATGAAAAGAAAATAAATAAAATATCACTCGTTTTTGTCAATGGCTGGTACAATTAACGACAATTAAAAGCAAATTGTGTTAGGGCCGGGCTTAATTGAAGCACCAAGAAATTCGTGGCCGCTTCAGGTCTCCCCCATCAGCATCATTTGGAAAATTGCATAGGAAAATATTTTGCACAGGAGGAGGCGAGGTGTTCATGAAACGCCGCCCGGGGAAAACTAACCGAAATTTGGTCGTAATAATAATTTATGCAGAAATAGCCCGAAAGTGTGTTCTCTAATTTGCATGGCTTGTCGGCCGAAAGGAAAGGCGGAAAAGCCAAGGGGTGGCAGCGGAGGTGGGGCGGCCGTCGAGGCAGACTTTGATGCTGGAAACTTTTCTGCGGCTAATCACTTGTTAAGTAATTTGTTGCGGCATGTTCGGTAGCAAAAGGGTTGGATCCCCGGAGTCCGGAGACCGGAGCCCGCAGCCCAGAATATAGTACGATACGAAACCCTCGTAGACACATCCCCCACATCGATTGGTTTGGATTGGATTGGTATTTTCCCTGGGGCAAAGTTATTTGCATTGTTTAGAAGTTGTTGGGGAAATTGTTGTGAATATTAATATAAATACTTTTGCAATTTGCAAACACTGATTAAAATATGATGTCTGGCAAATTGACTTCAAAAGCTACTAATTCACGAATTCAAGAGATGAATAATTATTACCCACTGGAAATCCAATCGGTGGGGTAGGGTTGGCACCTCAGAGGCAAAGGCAATCAAATACTTGACGTATAAAACGGAAGTTATGTAAGAGTTCCATTAGCAGTTTCGCTTTCTGGATGGGATTGGGATTGGGACTGGGATCGGGATTGGCCCCAGCCCCAGCCGCAGCCCCATCCCCAGCCTCAGCCCCAGCCCCATATGATGTCGAGCCCATTTCTGGTGTCTGGGTTTAATTTTAAATATTGCTAAATGAATAAATTAATTGAATAAAGGGGCAATCCAATTAGCAAGTTTTCAGCGCAAATGAGAAATCGATTCTTATATCGGAACATAATTTAATTATTTTCGCAACACCCGACAACAGAGCCCTGCTTGGGGTTGTTTATAAATACATTACATTAATTTACCCACAAATAGATATTAATCATTCTAGTTGATTTTTTTTTTTTTTTTTGCTTTGTGCAGCACAGTTTTTTTCTTCTGAATTATTAACAATCTATGAAAAGCCACAAACAAGAATTCCGCTTTCATTTCTCAAAACAGCGCAAAAACACATCATCAACAGACGGAAAATAGCTTCCGGCCAATCGAAATGAAATTGATAATCCTATTTCCCCGCCGCCACCCACCCACTCATCCACTCATCCATCCATCCATTCATTCGTCTATCCATTCATACCACCCACCCTGCTCCCAACGTACAGCAAAATCATACAAAAAAATGACAAGGAATTAACAAAAAAAAAAAAAAAGAAAAGAAAAAAGGCGATTAATGTCGGTAAATGGAGTTTTTCCTTGATTTTTTTGTTTGGCTTACCTCCGAATGCAATTATGCAATAAATGCTTCACAATGTTTGCACAACTTTTTAATTATAAATGTTGAATTGCTAATTTGAAATGCGGCGAATGCAAATCCGCGGACGGCTTGAGGGACCTAGGCCCCGTCTCTATATACTGTACTAAAGGTGTATGTACTAAAGTTAGTGGCTGCAGTTTAATTGCAGTTTACATCGGGCCGTGATAGCCTTAGCCCATTTTCCATGAAGCGTGGCCGCACCCGGGGGAAAAACCGCCCACTGCCCGGGTGAGCCCCACCGACCAGGTGTGGGCTGCAGTGTCTATAATTTGATCGTTTGGAAAACTCACGCACTTGCATAATTAAGTTGCATGATAAAGGTGGAGAAAGAGTGGAACATTGGGGAATTTGAAAGTCTTAACATGTATATTCCAGATCTGATCTGATCCGATCTGTTCCCTGATGATCCGTAGCCGTCTCTAGAGTCTAGACACATCTCCTGGCTATCACTCGTAGAGCTGAGGCACTACTTGTGACAAAATGATGTTGAGTTGCTCTTAGCTCAACTAGCAAACATGTGTATGATATGATGTTTATGATCTCTACATCATATCGGTGTTTGTCTAACTAATGAATCTCATCTCCTACTGTTCTAGGGTTAATACACCTTCACTAATGCAATGCCATCACTACGAATCAATAACTGTAAACAGATCTATTTCCATTCCGCTCTGGCACACGTCGTACACCATCTCATCATCAGTGCATCAGCTCCCTCGTCTGGTTATTGGTTTTCCTTTCACCTGCTCCTTCGCCTGCGCTAACTCTCTGCGGTTCCAGATCTTAATTGCTGTTTGTTTAGCGTAATACAGATTGCAGAGCGGTGCGCGCCGGGAGAGCAGTACGTGTTTGATAAATTAATGTTTTTTTTGTCCCTTTGCGTTGCTTCGATCTGTTTCGATTTTAAGTATAAAATAAGGCGCGAATGATATACGGATAATACTTCGATTAAAGTGTCGTCGCGTGACTGTCGTTTCAGTGATTTTCTCTGTAATCTTTCCATATAATATAGCCCGAAACGAATCTGCAACGGAGGGCACTGCTTACACCACGGTAATTCCGGTTTCAGAGAGTTTATACATACATATATATGTACGTTCCGCGGGTTCTTCTTGCCTTTTTTTTAATTTTTTATCCACAATTTCGGTTCTTCTTTATTGTTTTTATATTACGGCTCGGACTTTCCTTTTGATTTTGTATTCCACGCATTTTTTTCATAAATGACATCATTTTAAAGTCATTTTTTGTGTTGTTTTTTTTTTTGTTTAAAGAGAGATGTACACCAACATATGTACATATGTGTTAGTGATATTTATTGTACGTCTGTAGTGCTTTGTTTTGTTTTTTGTATTTTTGGAGTGTTTGTCTATGGACTGGAAGGTCACCCACCGCAACATCATTAACGACTTCAAAATAGAAGTGGAGCTCCATTAAATGCTGATCTATTCGAATCGAATAACGATCATTTATTTGGCCTAAGCTTAAAACCGGGTTGCCTTCCGGCATAGCATTCCGGATTCATACAGCCACCCTCTCAAAGTACTTGCTATCACTTACTTGCCGCAAAACACAAACACTCTTCGAATATGGCCCAATGATAACTTGAAAGGAACAGGCCACGCCACATAGCAACTGAGGATTGCACAAACACAGAAACCACAATAGCAGTAACAGAAACAGAAACTGATTAACTTGACCGATAAAATAATCTTGTCAGGGTTTAGGTGGAGATTTCGTTGCGTTTCGGCCAATACAGAAATCTCTATCAACAGACTACAAGTCATATACATATATGTACATAAGTATGTAGGTATATATTATTTCTGAGAATTACGAGCACGAGTCATGAGCCAAACATTTCCAATTGAAAATGTGTGTACTCCAAACGGTATCTGAGAGGGCTTTTACATTGTAATAGCTGATTGTGATTGTGAAAGTAGAGATGCAACATTCTTGAAACATTCTTAAACGATTATCCGGATTGCAATTGAACCAGAGAGCATTATGTGGCCAGAGGCAGCAGTCAGAAGTCAGCAGTGAGCATCCCCGACTCTCGGTATTCCATTTGAGTTGGTTTTGAGAGCGCCCCCACACAGATTTCCATCACCATAATTAGCCCGGCTGAGTAACTGCCTTGCTGGCGACTGCCTTTTGCGAATGTCAAGTCAAGAAAAGTTCCCCACCAAACCAGTCGAATAAAAAATGCAGCCGCATGCGGCGCGCTTCAAAGTCACAAACAATTTGCAAGCCACACTGAGCACTCAACAAGCCGCATTAAAATACAGCCCATTGTTGTGGCACCCATCTCCCATCCCCAAACTCCAGCCAACCCCCAGACGCAGCCGCAGCCGCAGCCGCAGCGGCAGCGGCAGCC